GCGGTCTCCTCCGCGGTTTCCTCCGCGGGCTCCTTCGCGGTGGCCTTCGCGGTCCTCTTCTCCGCGACTGGCTGAGCGTCACGTCGGCCACCGGCGATGCGCGTGGCCGGCGCCACAGGCGACGCCCCATGACTCCCCTCATCGCCGGAGGCCGACACCGGAGGCAGGCCACGCAGTTCGACGGGAAGGGAATGGGAAGGAGGGGCAGGAGATGGCGAGGTAGGGGTGACCGCGACATTCTCATCAGCCTGCTCACCGACCTCGGCGAGCAGAGGAAGCGTCGCCGTGGAGGTGTCGGTCAGCGGGTTGGCCCGCGTCCGCCCCGACGCAGGTCCGAATTCCGGAGCTCCCAGCCTTTGCTCTCCTCCGACACGCCGAGGTGAAGGCCCCACCGGGCCTTCGGCTTCAGCTTCCCACCGCGCTGCTGCTCAGGGACGGGAAATTGTGCCATGCAGCCCCACACCCGCGCCAGTGACAGGTCGGGCTTCTGCCCGGTGAGAAGCTGGTACGGCGTCGTCCCCGCGGGCAGCGTCGACCGCTCCAGGCAGTTGCGAACCCAGACGGCCTGCCGCAGAGCGAGATGCCACCAGTGGTGCTGCACGCCCATGTGCAGCAGCATCGTCCGCACCGACTCCACCACCGTCCTCATCTCCCGCTCCGCCATGCCATTCTGCTGCGGGGTGTAAGGGCAGGTTAAGTCGTGAACGATTCCCTTGCTGTCCACGAAGGCAGTGAAGTCCTTTCCGAGGAACTCCCCTCCGCGATCAGAACGCAGTTGCAGCACCGAATGCTTCGCCTGCCGCTCCACCAGCACCAGCCACTTCTGGAACTCCAGCAGCACGTCAGACTTCTTGGCGACCGGCCTCACCCACACATAGCGGGTCTTGCGGTCCTTCAGCAGCAAGAAGTATAGGCTGCCATCCTTGGCAGCCACGCGAAATGGCCCGCACAAATCGATGTGCACGACGGCCAGGACGTCGTCGGCTTCGGAGCCATGGTCGGGGAAGGTGTGCCGCGCCAGCTTCCCGCCGACGCACGAAACACACGGGGAGTTGGCGCCGGACGCCGACGTGAGGTCCAGCCCAGTGGCGACCTCGTGCTTTGCCGAGCTCCGTATCGTGTCCATGCCAACATGCGCAAGCCTCGCGTGCAGCCTGTTCGGGGTTGCCTTCGTCGCCGAGACGATCGCCCGCAGAGCGACCTCCTCTTTCGCGGGCGTCGTCGCCTTTACCGCGCATGGGCGTAGGTCAGTGCAGAGGACCCGGCCGGTGTACGTCGCTCGACCGAGCACGTCCCCCGCCGCGGAGACGAGCAACATCCGATCGCCGTCGTCCTTCAGCGTCACCCCGCTCTCCTTCAGCTGGCCAGCCGAAAGCAGATTCGCCTGCACGCCTGGGACGTAGAGAACGCAGTGGCCCATGGGAGCCACGAAATCGCAGTGGCCCGTGGGAGCCACGAAATCGCAGTGGAGGACCGCGGTGGCCGAGAAACCGCGGGAGGACCGCGAAATACCCGGTCAACCAGGATACCCGGGCGACGTGCGCGAAAGTCGCCGGGGATGTTGTCTGCGAGGACGACCTCGGGGGTGGTATCCCGAGGTCGACGTGGCTGGTGGGCGCCGTCACGGGTGAAGTGTCTGCGCTGGGCAAGTGACGGGGAGTTGGGCGCCAACCAGCTGCACGCACCTGCGAAGCTGGTGCACCGTTGTCCCGCGGATGCGACACTGTGCAGCCGACATACTGCAGCGTTGGCGCACCGCGGACTTGCAACGTTGGCAAGCCGCGACTCTGCTCTGCTGGAGCGCGGTCGACCAAGTCGTGCTGGCACGCGGTCGACCGTGCTGCGCTGGCAGTGGACCAGCAGCCTTGCTAGGTCTGATGTAGTCATTGTTGCCAATGTTGGTGAAATCATTCTGAACTTTTGTTGTTATATTTTCCTAGTGAAACTCTTGCCGATTTTCCCCGTGAGCTAGCAAGTAGTGTTAGCACTTGGAAACGACTAAGGAACGAACGAACGCAGAGATCACACGAGCATCCGTGCCTAGCCCGTAGTCTAGCTCCCGTTGCAATAGTTATCTCCGCATTAGTCACCATGGTTGGCTCCGTAGGTGACGCAGGCGTAGTGGATACCCTGGAGACGCGGCTGGCTGATGCGAGGAGACGCCACGAGGATGGCGAGTACGGACAGATCCTCCTCTTGGAGGTCGTCGAGCTGGGCATCCGCGCAAAGTGGGCGACGGAACACCCTTCTCGACGTGATTCTCCTCGACGAAGGTGGCGTCGACGTGAGCGTCCACGCCGGTGACCAAGTCGGCAGCAGTGCGGGAGGCACGTCGAGGCAGAGACGGGTGTTCCGGACGGCCGACAGTGAAGTCGGCGGCGTTCACGCGCGAGGGCTGCAGTCGTCGGTGGCTGCGGGCTCCTCGCAAGGCGACGTCGGTGGACGTCGAAGCAGTGTGACGCCGGTCGGCGACTCACGTGACTGCAGGAGGGATCGCGTCGACCTACAGATACTTCAAGTTCACGCCGGACAAGATCTCCGTCACGGCGCCGCTGGTCGGTCGTCACGACCTTCTCACGTGGAAAGAATCCATCGAGCCCCAGCTGGAGATGGCCGGGCTGATCTGCGGAGTTCAGCGCCGTGCAGCTGCTGACCTTCACGGTTATCTCGCGGTGCTGGTCGCCGGTGGTGCAGATCGCCTTGAAGTCGTGCCGGCGTCACCTGGACGCCGGACATCAGGCGTGGCGGTTCATCACGTCGACGTACCAGGTCACCAACGACCTGTACATGGGCCAGCTAGAGGAGCAGATGACGCACCTGCGGATGGGCGAGCAAGAGACGGCGACTGGCTACTACAACCGAGCTCGGCGTCTCCTTGCCTGCATGCGGATGGCCGGCGTCGAGTACTCGACGGCGTCGTACATCACGCACGTCATCAAGGGGCTCCCGAGCGGCTACAACCTGATGAAACGACTGACGGTGGTGCCGGGCACGCGGGAGTCACTCAACGAGGACTCCCTGACCTCGTACATCCTGAGGGACGAGGCGATGCAGGAGGCCGAGAGGTCCACGGAGCTCCTGCCGCAGGCGAACTACGTCGCCCCGGCAAAGCAAGGAAGTCAACCGGGGCAGCGCGGCAAGCCTGGCGGCAATGGTAGCGGAGGTGGGAGGCTGGCCAAAGACGCCGACAAGCAGAAGTCGGCTAAGGATGGCGGTCGTGGAGGCGGAAGTCGGCGTCGGGAGTGTTGGCTGTGCGGCGACCCCGACCACCTCTCCTTCGAATGGCCCGACCGCACTGACTCCGACGACGATGACACTAAGGGAGGCCGCGGGAGGTCGGCCGGTCATCGCCCACATCGGGAGAGCAAGCCGCGCAAGGAGAAGCAGTCGACCAAGTCGACGTCGGCGAAGGACGCCGACCCCTCCTCTGGCGGCAAGGGGCGAGGCGACGGAGAGGTGTCGTGCTCGCTGGTCGGCGTCGTGGAGCCGACCGTCTCGCTGGCGCCTGAGGCCGGCGAGGACTTCCAGGCGGTGGCAGCAGCCGTGCAGGCAAACCCGGCGGTGGTCCTGCTCGATAGCGGCTGCTCGCACCACCTGATGGGGACGAGTGCAGCATTCGTCGACCTGGGGCCAAGCGGCAACGTCAAGCACGTGCGCGGCTTCAATGGGGCGCTGCAGGACGTCCAGGGCCGCGGCACTGTCGCCCTGCAAGGAGAAGCCGGGAAGCAGGTGCTCATCCCGGACATGCTCTACGTCCCGGGCCCTCCTGGTCAGAAACGGCGTCGCCTTGCTCGCAGGCCCCGGCTGGGCCGTGCTTGAGCTGCAGCGCTGAGAGCACTGTCAACGGGAGTTGTGTGTTGGCCCCGTCCTCGCTTGGGCGGAGCTGACGTCGTGGTCGGGTGTACGGGAGGTGCAACCGATCTGCTGCAGACACCGACTTTGGCGCGCAGGTCGACGGCTTGGTCGACCTGCACGGGGGCCACTGCGAAGCCACCGACGCCGGGCGCCGGTGGCCGACTTCAACCGGGGTCGACGAGGGCAGTCGTCGTCCTGGGAGGATGGGGACGCCTACCTGGGCGTCTGGATGCCGACCTGGGCGTCTGGACGCCGACCTGGGCGTTTGGACGCCGACCTGGGCGCCTGGAAGCCTACCTGGGCGTCCGGACGCCTACCTGGGCGCCTGGACGCCGACCTGGGCGCCTGGACGCCCACCTGGTGGCGTCAACCTGGTTGCCCGGTCAACTCAGTTACCCGGGCGACGGGCACAGCGGGGTGCGCGAGAGTCGCCTAGGAGATTCTTGCGAAGCCGACCTCGGTGTGGTATCCCGAGATCGATGTGGAGGATCAGGTGCAGTCGTGGGCACATGGCCAGCTTGTCGTCTGCGAGGCACAGCACGCCAACCAGCTGCGAGCACCTGCGAAGCAGGTGCATTTCTGTCCTGCGAATGCAACGCTGTTCAGCCGCCTTGCTGCAGAGTTGGCACGCCGTCGACTTGCAGCGTTGGCAGATTGCGACTTTGCCCTGCTGGAGCGCGGTCGACCTTGCAGTGCTGGAATGCGGTCGACCGTGCTGCGCTGGCAGTCGGCCTGCATGCTTGGTAGCATCTGGTATAGTCCATTGTTGCTTGGTACTGTGGACCATTGTTGTCAATCTTTGCTAGTGAAACTCTTGCCAAATTTCCCCGTGAATACGCAAGTAGTGTGAACACGAGCAAACAACTAAGGAACGCAGAGATCACCCCAACACCCCGTGCCTTTCCCGTAGTCAAGCTCCCGTTGTGTTAGCTATATCCGCAAGCACATCATTGCATTGCTAGCAGCATGCCCACTCACAGTACAGTGTTGCTAGCAAGCAGCGTACCTTGAGCCAGTCGAAGAGAGGAAGAGTCGTTTTGGTGCACCACTAGTCGAGAATCAGATGCAGCTCGTAGAGAAACAGCAGCATGGGGTAAACCCGGAACAGCTACCTCGACGGTGACAGCACTATCATCTGTCCAAGATCATACCTTGAGCCAGTCATAGAGAGGCAGAGTAGTTTTGGTGCACCACCAGTCGAGAATCAGATGCAGCTCGTAGAGAAACGGCAGCATGCGGTAAACCCGGAACAGTTGCCACCTCAGCCACGTGGCCCTCCTCGTCAGAAACGGCGTCGCCTTGCTCGCCGGCCCTGGCGGGCCGTGCTTGAGCTGCAGCGCTGAGAGCGCGAGGGAGATGGATTTGATGGCGAGGTAGGCTCGGATGGTGTTGTGGGAGGCGATGAGGTTGGCGTTCCAGAAGAGGCGCATTTGGTAGCCGAGGTGCAGGAGGAGGGAGGTGAGGTGGTAGAGGATGCGCAGGGGGGCGGAGAAGACCAGGTAGAGGATGCGGTTGATGACTATGAGGAAGAACTGCGTCTGCTTGTAGGGGAGATGGGGAGAGGGGGGAAAGGAAAGGTGGGGGGTGGAAGATAGGAAGATAAACTTGGGGTTGCTTTTGAGAGTTCTCAACTCAACAGCGTATACTAAAGGCGAAATTCTTTGGAATTCCCAAAGGCGATATTTCAAAAAATCTGAACATCAGACTGGAGTGGATAGGACAAAAAACTTGGAGCCGCTCTTGAAAATTCTCAGAAGGTGCAACTTTTTTGAGAAACCATGACATGTACATACGTACCATACTTCTCTGGCAGCTCACACGTACGTACCATGACATGCTGCTCCACCACATCTCACCATGAGCCGTGTTTTGAGTCGACTCAAAAGTCACTTAAAAACTGACCATACTTCTCTGGCAGCTCACACACACACGCGTACCATGACATGCTCCTCTGCAAAAGAATTTTGAGGCGCCTCACAAGTCGCCTCAAAACGACCTTTGAGTTGCCTAAGAAATGCTGTTCTGCCACATCTCACCATGAGAACCGCGATGTAGGTGGAGGGGAACTGGTCGCCCGTGTGAATGACCTCCTCAAAGGGCGATCTGTCTCGCACAGCCGAATGATTGGCTAAGCTACTCACCCAAACTGTAACCTCAGCCCAGCACCAGGCAAGGCTGCTCTAGCAACAGCTGCACAGCCATATCTCACCATGAGCACGGCCACATAGTTGTAGGGGAACTGGTCCCCCGTGTGAATGACCTCCTCAAAGGGCGATTTGTCGCGCACAGCCGACTGATAGAAGAGCCCCACATAGAAGAAGGCGAGGATGTCAATGCAGAAGATGTAGGGGTAGAGGTCTACCTCCCTGCGACCACCTGGGAGGACCATGGGGATAAGAAAGACACAGGGGAAAGTAGGGTGATATTGAGGAGGGCAACCTGCCAGTCACACACGAGTCATGGCACGGACGGAACAGCTGACTGGTAGAAGAGCCCCACGTAGAAGAAAGCGAGGATGTCGATGCAGAAGATGTAGGGGTAGAGGTCTATCTCCCTTCAGCCTCCTGGGATGTGACAGGAATAGAAGAGAGGGTAAGAGAGGGTAGGCAGCTGGTAGACTAGCCCCACGTAGAAGAATGCAAGGATGTCGATGCAGAAGATGTAGGGGTACAGATCCACCTCCCTTCGGCCTCCTGGGAGGGTGGGAACAGGGAAAGGGAGACCAAGGTGATCAGAGAGTACCCAGCAGGTGGGTTCAGTGACCCACACAGAGGAGCCCCACATGGAAGAAGGCGAGGGCGACGATGCAGAAGAGTAGGGATCTAGATAGATCCACCTCCCTGCGACCACCTGGAAGGATGGGAGTAGGGAAACCACCTCAAGTGATGGACATGAGACTGCCAAAGAAGCAGGGGGATGTGTATGTTAGTGTTAGCCCTCAATCTCACATATTGTACTTACACTTTTATATCATAGTGTAGTGTGCACTTTGTGTTTGGTTGGGTGTACACCCACATCCCAACCAAACCCAAATGTGATCTCCAAGCAATCTCCAACCCACCAATTGGAGATTGCCTTGGGATTACCCCCAATCCCCTAGGATTGCCCCCGATTTTCTCCCCATCCTTACCTTGCCCATTTCCGATGTACTTAAAGAGCCTTGAGCTCATTACTAATGTATAAATTCCAAGCTCAAGTTCTAACATGGTATCAGAGCTCTTCAACCGCACACGCGGATCTTGATCCTACTACCTTTGCGGAATCTTCTCCCGCACTCCTAGGCGAAGCCGCCGTCAACATTCATCGCTCGACGTTAAGGATCGTCATCAACCTAATCTTCCCGGCCGGAATTTCTCCCGCGCCGTCCTCGTCGCCGTGATTCGCGACATCTTCCGTGAACAGATTCTCTCTCGTGCTACCTTTTCCGCAGTCACGGTGCATCGGTTTCCGTAATAGCGTTTGCTCGCCTTTCACCCCAAATCACCGCGGTTCTGTCCCGCTTTTCTTCTCGCTTCGGCGTAACCCTACTCTTCTCATCTCGTCAATCTTTGGGCTGCCGTCCGTCACCCTGCAGCTTCACTTCTCGTCGGGCTGCCGCCCGTCGCCCTGCAGCTTCACGTCGGGCTGACGCCCGTCGCCCTGCAGCGTCACCTTCGGACTGCCGCCTGTCGCCCTGCAGCTTCACATCGGGCTGACGCCCGTCGCCCTGCAGCGTCATCTTCGGGCCGCCGCCCGTCGCCCCGCATCGGCACTTCTATCTCTTCGCAGCTGAACAGGTGTAGCTGAGCAGCCGTGTAGCAGCAAAGCCGCGAAGCAGAGGGACAGGGCCGGGGGGGGGGGGGGGGACTAGGGTTCGTCGACAGTTCTGAAATCGGCGGCCGACATTGACGTTTTTCGCTCTTCGGGACCTTCGGATTTCGAAATCACTAAACATTTCTTCACAATTCTCCTTCGTAAATCCTACCATACAATTCTCCTTCATAAACCCCACCTCAAAATTCACCTTCATAAACCTTACTTTACAATTCTCATTCGAAAACCCTAAACCCGAAGTTTCTATCGGTGACTTAAGAGCGGCGCTTCGCGCGAGACCTAAAGGGTTCTTCGTCATGGCCTTCGCTTCGGCCACTCTAGCCAACCCCATCACCCCGCTCCACCTTGAAGCCGACGGCACTAGCTCCAACTTCAAGGCATGGAGCTACGGGGTTGACAAGCACCACCTTCAAGGATGTTTTTCTCAATCATGGCAAGGGAAAACAGCCCCCCGTCCCCAAGGAGCCGTCCGTTCCTCCGATGCTGTGGCAACCCAGCAGTACGAGGATTCTGTTGCCAAGTATCGCAAGTGGGAGAAGGCCGATGCGGCTATCATTAGCGTCTTCATCGGCTCCACCCCTCCCGAACTTGTCAACACTTTTCACAACTACCCCGATTCCAACGCCATTTGGAAGCATCTCCAGGAAAGGTTTATGAACAAATTGGCGGTCGGTGTGGCCATCCTCATTCCCAGTATGTTTCAAGTCCGCCTTGAGGATTGCCCCCGACTACATCGCCAAGGTGCAAAACATCCATGGCGAGCTCAAGGAGATGGGTATCGTCTTCCCTGAACAAGCTCCTGCAGCCGCCCTTCTCGTTGGCCTCACCTCGGCATACGAAGTCACGAGGAAGATGCTCCTCACATCCTCGGCGGAAGACCTCACATTTGCTAAGGTCTCTTCCGCCATCCTCTCCGCCGAGAAAGACACCACGGCTCAAGCCCAGGCCTACGCCCTCCGCGCTCCCGTGCCTCAAGCAAGTGTTGCCTCGGCGCCCTTCCAGCGCAACCGTTTCCCCCCGTGCACCTACGTTGTCAAGTATGGCAACCGCAAGGGACAAGTGTGTGGTGGCACCAACCACCCCCTCGACACGTGCTTCAAGAAGAAAGACGACGAATGGTATGTCATCCATGGAATCGACAAGAAGCCGCCGAATTGGAGCCGCCGACAAGGCCAACAGGACCCCCCTCAGGCTACTACTAGTGATAGTGCTCCTGCTGATGTGCGCATCAACTTGTTCCCTGGCAGTGCCATGATTAATGAAGCAACTTCGCAGTACATCGGCTCATCACAGGCACCACAATACATAGAATTCACACTCGACAGCGGAGCCACCCACACAGTGCTGAAGGAGACACTCTCCTTCAAACCCTGCTCAACACTCATTTCTCTCTTGGGAGCTGATTCAAGCTTCACCACTCTTGCCAAGGGTTCCTCCATAGTCCCGTGCCCCGCCTTCCCATCCGGCACAGTCACGAGCATGTGCGTGCCTTCACTACGCCACAATCTCGTGGCTAAAAAAGAACTTCAGGAGGCAGGGGTCCGCCGCACCATAATTTCAGAGTATATGGACTATTGTGACATCATCGACCCACTCACCAACAAGGTTCTAGCTCGCTTCACCCTCAACAGCAGCGGCCTCTACACACTGCGTGTACCTATCCCACAGGTGTCAACCACCCAAGCACAGGCTACTATCACACCATGCTCATGTCGCAGTTTCTCTAACCCGACCATCCTCTACCACCATCGGCTCGGGCACCCAAACTTCCGCACGCTTGCTGACATGGCCTCCAAGAAGCTTCTTCTCAGCCTGCCAGCCTCACTTCCTCCACCACCTGACTCGCCCGCTCCCACGTGCCTTGACTGTACCAAGAGCAAGCTACGTCAACAGCCCCACCCTGCCTCACCCTCTGTAGCAGCAGCCCCACTGGACCTAGTGCACATGGACGTCTGGGGCCCTGCCCCGGTTGCTGCACGAGGTGGCCATCACTACTTCCTTTTTATAGTTGATGACCACACTCGCTACGTCTCTGTGCACCTCCTCCACACTAAGGATGAGGCTCCAGAGGCCATCATGGCATGGGTTAACCAGGCACATACCACCTTTGGCACCAAGGTCAAGCGCCTCAATTCGGATGGTGGTGGTGAATTTTGCAACATCAAACTTGAACCCTTCTGCTCCTCTCTCGGCATTCTGCAAAACTTCACCCTTCCTGACAGCCCGCAACAGAACGGCATAGCGGAGAGCCGTAATCACACCTTGGTGCAAATCACTCGCTGTCTCCTCAGCCACTCCCATGCACCACACTCGCTCTGGGGGTACGCCCTCTACCATGCTGCTCTCCTCTACAATCTTTATCCCTACCCGCATCTCCCCGATACCACTCCCACCGCGCTCTGGCTCGGGAAAACACCCACTGCTCGCCCCCTTCGCATCTGGGGGTGCACCGCCTATGTCCTCCTCAACCCCCAGGCTCGACGGCGGCAAGGTGGCAAGCTTGGTCCCAAAATTCAAACGTGCATATACCTTGGGCATAACGCTGACTCCTCTGACTATTTTTTCCTCAACCACTCCACTCAACAACTCGTCCGGAGCCGCGATGTCGTCTTTGATGAGAATTGCCCCTTCTACTCCGCCCCGGGGGGGGATCCCCCTTCCGGACCACCCTCCCTTGTGTGGGCTGACTTTGATGCGCCTCCTGAACTTCCGCCCGCACCAGCCCCCTCACCTCCTACCTCTTCTGCCATCGCACCATCCCCGTCTGAGGTCTCTGACCCGACCTCTCCGGTGTCCTCGGCAGCTGCTCCTCCGTCCCCCCTATCCACCCCTCTGCCAACTGCGCCCCCACCACCAAGCGCACCAATCACATACCATCGGCGGTCGAACCCTCCAGCCCCACCTCCTCCCCCCGTTCCCTCCTCCACTCAGGAACCTGCTCTCCCACAACCGAGCAAACTGATCACGTACCAGCGACGGCCGATCCCTCCCCCCCAAGCCTCCTAAACCGTCCCCTCCAGGAACGCCTGCTCCACCCTCTTCTCCGGTGGCTCATGGCACTCGGTCGCATGGGGCTGCTCCTCCACATGCACTTGCCATTCGATGCTCAGTGATCACTCCGACTCCTCCTGCTGGGAGGGATATGCCCTCTACCCTTCTGAAAGACAAGCATGAGGAGCTGTGTGATCTCCACGCTGTCATTCCTCAGCTCTCGCACATCTTCCCCGATATCACTGAATCACCCTCGCTCAACTTCTCGGAAACCCAGTCCCTATCCCTCTCACTGTCCAAGAGGCTCTTTTGGGTCCCCATGCTGCAGAGTGGCGCGCTGCCATGGAAGCTGAGTGTGAAGCCTTCACTCGCAACTACTCCTTCGACGACGAAACTCCACCTCCAGGAGTTAACATCATTGGGGGCAAGTGGCTGTTTTGAGTGAAGCAGCTTCCGGACGAGGCCCCAGTGTTCAAAGTGCGCTATGTGGCCAAGGGATTCACTCAGCAGCAGTACTTTGACTTCTTCAAAACCTTCTCTTCCACATCCGAACCACCCACAGTTCGCACGCTCTTGGATGTAGCCGCACGAGAAGACTTTGAGATCAAATCCATGGACGCCTCTTCGGCATTCCTGCCAAGACAGCTCAAGGAGACTGTGTTTATGGACCGACCTGAAGGCTTTCCAGGAGAGTTCCCTCCCAACACTGTCTGGAAGCTGAATCACCCTGTTTACGGCCTCAAACAAGCCCCTCGTGAATGGCACAACAAAGTGAAAGAAGTCCTTCTCTCATTGGACTTTCACCCTTCATCTGCTGACCCGACTCTCTTCATTCGCCGTCATTCTAAGTCATTCTACATATTTGTCTACGTCGATGACTTCATCCTCGTTGCCAATGACTCGGCCCAGATGACCTCTGTCCAGGCGGCCCTGAGCAAGGCCCTCCTGATGAAAGACCTCGGTGACCTCAAGCACTACCTGGGGATGGAGATCACTCGTGATCGTCAGGCTCGCACCATCTCACTCTCCCAGGAGTTCTACATCAACAATGTGCTCAAGCACTTTGAGATGGAGTTGTGCACACCCATGGCCACCCCGCTGCCACTACAGCACCTCCTTACAACTCCAGCTGTTCCCACACCGGAGGCCTGCTCCGAGCCATACCCAGAGCTTGTTGGGTCCCTCATGGACGACATGATGTGCACCCGGCCTGACCTGGCATACCCTGTCAGTGTCCTCTCTCACTATCTGGCTCCTGGACGCTTCACCGATCTCCACTGCAGTGCGGCGAAGCGAGTGCAGCGCTATCTGAAAGGCACCAAGACTCATGTACTCACACTTGGTGGTCTTTCTCTTCTTCGACTGGAAGGTTACACTGACTCCTCTTGGGCTGATGACCAGACCAACCGACGCTCCTCCCAGGGCTACTGTTTCACCCTTGGCAGTGGAGTTGTTAGCTGGCGCTCCACCAGGTCATCTGCAGTCTCCCTCTCCTCCTGCGAGGCAGAGCTTTACGCTGGCACCATGGCGGCTCAAGAGGCCCGTTGGCTCACCTTCTTCCTACAGGAGCTTGGCTACACTCAGCCCACCCCCACCCTCTGATGTGACAACAAGAGTACTATCCACCTTTCCCAGGATCCTGTGTACCACACTCGCACCAAGCACATCGAACTTCACCACTTCTTCATTCGTGACCTTGTCCAGCGTGAACAGTTGAACGTGGAGTACGTTGCATCTGACTGCAACCTAGCTGATCTGTCACCAAGCCCCTTGGGAAGGTTCCTCACCATCGTTTTCTTGGCACCATGGGGCTATGTGCCCCACCTTCTCCACCTTGAGTTCGATTGACGTATATGGGGGGGTGTTAGTGTTAGCCCTCAATCTCACATTTTGTACTTGCACTTTTATATCCTAGTGTAGTGTGCACTTTGTGTTTGGTTGGGTGTACACCCACATCCCGACCAAACCCAAATGTGATCTCCAAGCAATCTCCAACCCATCAATTAGATATTGCCTTGGGATTACCCCCAAGGATTGCCCCCGATTCTCTCCCCATCCTTACCTTGCCCATTTCCGATGTACTTAAAGAGCCTTGAGCTCATTACTAATGTATAAATTCTAAGCTCAAGTTCTAACAGTGTATAGCTTAGCTTGTATTGTGGTGAGCTGAGCACGGCAGCAGTCCACCTTACCAAGTGGAACTTTTGAGACGTCAGAAACTTACCAAGTGGAATGAGTCGATGTTTTAATCGACAAAAAAAACAACAACAGAGGCCAATTTTCACGAGACTCGGAATATTCTTTCTGCACGTTCCATCACACTTTACCTGCAACGACTGAGGCGAGTTGCACACAGCGCGACCCAAACGCCCTCCTCAGAATTCCATTAGTAGCAGCAGCAGCTGATGCCCTCGTCCTGCTGTTGCTACTACCTGCCACATCCCCATGCCCATCCGCATAGCCATGCCCATGCCCATCCCCATCCCCATACCCAGATTCAACCCCTCCCTCTTCCCCACTCCCCACCCTTCCCCCACTCAGGAACCTCCCTAGCTTCTTTGCCACGTCACCAGATGGCGTGAGGGACTGCCACGTGTCATGCCACGTGTGCGGCTGAGAGGGGATGTGCTGGGTCGTAGGAGAGGCAGAGGGAGAACCCGAGCAAGCAGGAGAGGAGGCAGAGGCAGAAGCAGAGGCACTGGTGGCGAAAGTGGTGGCAGTGGTGGTGGTGGTAGTAGTGGTACTGGCGGTGGTGGTGCTGCTGCTTGTAACCACCTCTAACACCACCACTATAGTGTCTGTAACAGGGAGATGCGAGTGAGTAGGAGAGTGAGGGGGGGCATGAGGGGGAGCGTGAGGGGGGGCGGTGGTGTTGAGAGAGGAAGTGTTGAGAGAGCCAGCGCATTCCACACTGTGCACTCGCACGCACAGGGGGTAGTTGCTTGGACGCAACACAAGTGCCTGCTGCTCTTGCAGATGCTCATGCTGAGACCAGTGTTGAGTCTCCTGTTGATGATGCTGCTGGTAGTGGTGCTGCTGCATAATTTCAGTCACTGCTGCTTCGTCCTCCTCAAAACGCACATGTTTTTTCAAACCACCTCCACCATGGCCTCCTCTTCTCTGTGTAGCTCCTGCCACATCACCAAACACTGCCACGTCAGCAGGCACTGCCACATCAGCGGGTGCTGCCACGTCATCAGCGTGCGCTAGCACAAAGTTGAACGCCCCTTCAACGACACCTGGCTGCATCTGATTGGCCGTCCACCCCTCCGGGCTGCACAGCACAACCTGCACAAAGTAGGGAGGCGCTTCAGACCCTTCCATAGTAGCTCTTAGGAACCTAATTAATCCCCTCCACCCTCCTCTCCATTGGAGCAACAGACCCCCCCACACCCGCCGGAAAGAAAACATTCGTGTAAACGCTCCTTCCCCGCTGCTGCTACTCCTGTTGCTGCCGCTGCTGCTCCCACTGCTCCTACTGCTGCTGCTGTTACTGTTGCTGCTGCCGCTGCTGCTGCTGCTGCCGCTGCTTCTGCTGCTCCTGCTCCGGCTGCTGCTGCGGTAACTGTGCCTGGAGCTGCTGCCTTCTGCTGCAGAGCTGTGGCCGTTGCGAGGCGTGAGAGCAAAGGCTGGCCCACCTGCTTGGCGCGGCGACTGAGAGGCTGTCCGGAAGGATGAGTGAGGGAACGTGGATGCACGGGTGCTGCTGCCCAGCAGAGGCGAAGCTGCCTCCACGTCAGCATCATGATCCCTGTCAGCAGCGTCCGCGTCAGCATCGCAGTCCACGTAAGCATGCACGTGAACAGCCTGGCTTACCCCAACCAGCCGACCAACCACCCTCGCAATCCCCTTCAACCCACCCCAGAAACCACCCTCCTCAGTCCAACCCCCTCTCTCCTCCCAATCCACTCTCCCACCCCCTCCCTGACCAACTCCGCCCGAACCACCATCCGAGCCATGGTCACTTCCGAACCTGTCCTCCTGTTCTTCCTCCTCTGTTCTCGAAACTTTCACAGAGTTCCTAGCCTCCCCAGAAACCCTAGATTCCTTAGCACCCCTCGACTGGCTGTTTCGTTGACAAATGGCGGTCTGAACAAGCAGAGCGAGGTAGACTGCAAAGAGAGGAAGCACATTCCAAACGAACCAGCTGGGGTAAGGGCGGACGCCTAGCAGAGCAAATAGCCTATCCAATCCCTCCATTCCAAATCCTGCCTTAATCCACCCAGCAAACCCTCCCGCTCCCCCTCCCCCTCCTCCTCCCCCTCCTCCTCCTCCTCCTGCTCCACCACCCCCTGCGCCGCCCCCTCCCTTTTTCCCGCTCCCTCCCGCCCCATTCCCCCCGGCCCAGCTCGCACACCCATCATGCGTGGGGATCTGATACAGATACTCTAACGCAATCAGAATCTCGGAATAAACCAGCATGCCCCTCCAGAACCTCGGCCCGGGAGACGGGTTCGACACGAGCGCGTACAGGAAGAGTGCGAGCGGGAACACGAGGGTGGAGAGGGAGAGGTTCCAGCAGAACGCGGTTACCATGAACGCGCCGGTTACCACGTCGCTGTTGGATTGGAGGAGCCAGCGCAGCCGGGAGAAGGCCCGGGGGCGGTGCGGGGAGGAAGGGGAGGGAGAGGGAGAGGTGGTGGCAGCAGCAGAGGAGGAAGGGAAGGGGGTGGAGGTGGAGGTTACCGCGTTACCAACGGCTGCTCCTGCTGCTGCTGCTGCTGCTGCTGCAGCTGTTCCACCTGTTCCTTCGCCCATCCATTCCCCAGTCCGTTCTCCCATTCCTTGACTCTTTCCTTCTCCCACTCCTTCTCCCACTCCCCCACCTTCTGTTCCTCTTCCCCCATCTCTTCCCCCCGACCCCTTCCCCATTCCTGCTGTGCCCCTCGACCCATGCCGACTCAATACAGCAGCTGCAGCCGCTTCAGCTGCTTCCAGGAACCCTCCTCCTGCTGCTATGGCAGCAGCAGCAGCCTCAGGTGCACTCAACAGCTTGTCAGAATTCTCAAAAGCAGCCGCTTCTGCTGATGCTGTCTGAAGCCCTCTTCCCACTGCTATGGCAGCAGCAGCAGTAGCGGCAGCAGCAGCAGCAGCCTCAGATGCACTCAACCCCCTCTCCTCCCCTCGCTCTCCTCTTTCCTCTCCCCTGCTAAGCCCTTCGACAATCTCTCCCACTCCGTCTCCTGCAAACCCTGCTGCTGCACCCACACCCCTATCACTAGTCACCAGTCCCTCCTCTACAATCTCCTTCCCCGAAAGGCCCCTCTGAACAGAACTGGCGCCTGATTGGGTCGATTCAGGAGCGGCGTCTGATTGGCCCAAGCCAGACCCGGCGCCTGATTGGCCCGATCCTTCTTCAAGCACAGCTGGCAGCGCATCGGCAACAGCTGACACATCAACCTCACTGCAGACTGGGAGAATGTCAGGGCTCTCTGCAGGGCTGTGTGCTGCTGCAGTCAACCTGACTGGGAGAATTTCTGGACCCTGTGCTGCACTCAAACCATCTGGTCCTTCTTCCTCCTCGGCTTCTGCACGCAACCCCTCCAGCCTCTGAGAGTGAGAATTACCTTCACCCACCCGAGTTTGAGTCCCCTCACTAGAAGAAGGATCGGGCCAATTGCAGCTACTGCTGCGTGGCCTGTCACTCGAAACAACACCCACACTTGAAACGCCAACACTCCCCCCGTCTAGCCTACCCAGGCTACCCTCATCCACCAGCGCTGCTCAACCCTTCACTCCCCACACCTGAGACTCCCATCCCACCACTCTCCACCGCGCTCAACCCGAGCCTGCTCGCCCCACCACCACCTCCATCACTTCTAACTGCACTCAACCCCGCTCCACCGATCTCCCCTCCTTCCGAATCCAAATCCAGCAGATCCTCTAGCCCCGCAATCACCATGGATTGCACCTGAGCCACCCCCTGGCCAATCATCTGCTGCATGCCGGCCGGAATCAGCCGCCCGCTTCGCCGCCCGACCAGACCCCCTGCCGCCCGCTTCCATCGGCTGGTAGTGGCGCTGGTACCGATTGTGCTGGGAGGGTGGGTGGAGGAGGTGCCGAGAGCAGAGGAGGAGGGAGGGGAGGAGAGGGATGATCTCTGTGACCTTGTCTCTCTTGCTGGTGGTACTGCTACTGAGGGTGATGATGCTGATGATGGTATTGCCACTGATACTGACATTCCTGGTGGCACTGCTGCTGCTGCTGCTGCTGCTGCTGCTGCTGATGCTGCCACTCCTGTGACTGTTGCTGCCCCTGTATCTGGGGAGACTGAAGGGGGTGCTGTTGCCACCCCCTCAACTCTCCCTCCCACTTCTCCTCCCCACACCTCCCCGTCCCTACCAACCAATCCCTTCCCAGAAGCAGCCCTAGCCCTCTCCATAACCGCATTATAAGAGGGACCAGTACAATCAGGAGGCAGCATAGGAGATTCTATACCGTCAGACAGCATAGGACCCATGGGGAAGGGGCCAACTGGGGGAGGCACAGCTCGAGAGGAGGTGGAGGAAGGGGGGTGGAGTGGGGGAAGGAAATATGTGGGGGAGGGCGAGGGGGTGGATAGGGTACTGGATGGTATGGGGTGAGGAGGGGAGGAGAGTGCGGGGGGAGGGAGAAAGGCAGTGGGAGGGGGTTGACCTGCTGTGCATGAGGGGCCTGACTGGGGGAGGTGGTATGTGGCACGAGCAGTGGTGGTGGTGGTAGTCGCAACTTCAGCTGCAGCAGCACCACCACCACCACCGTAACCAACACCATCTGCACCGCTCTGGACCTCATTCTGAACCATTGCTGCTTCTGACGAATCACAAGTCAGATCCTGCCATCCACTCCCCTGCACCCCCCCTCGCCCTCCACCTCCTCCTCCCTCTCCCCTCTCCCCTCCTCCTCCTCCTCCCACCCTCCCCCGCGCCAGCATAAGCTGCAGCACCTGCTGCTGATGCTGCTGCGCCAGCCAAGCCGCCCCGGGCCCAGCTACCCCTCCTGCTGCACCACGACTTCCAGACAAGAGGGGGGAGTTGAGGAGGGCGAGGTGCGAGTGGAGGCGGCGCATGCCCTCCTTCATGCGCTGCACCTCCTCGCTGCGCTGCCGCCGCCTCTCCTCCGCCTGCTGCAGCTGCCGCAGATGCTCCCTCTGCCACGCCGCTGCCATCTCCGCTGCCCGTTGCCTGTCCTTCTCCTGGTTTAGGGGAAGGAGAGGGGGGAGGGGAAGGGAAGTAGAGAGACAGTATGCTTTGAGCTGAGCTGCCGCAGATGCTCCTGTTAGTGTTAGATCTCAATCTCACACTTTGTATTTTGTTTTCTATATCCTAGCGTAGTGTAGTTTTGCACTTTGTGTTTGGTTGGGTGTACACCAACATCCCAACCAAACCCAAATGTGATCTCCAAGCAATCTCCAACCCACCAATTGGAGATTGCCTTGGGATTACCCCCAATCCCTAGAGATTGCCTCTGATTCCCTTCCTATCCTTTCCTTGCCCATCCAGGATGTACTTAAAGAGCTTCAAGCTCATTACTAATGTATGGATTCTAAGCCTAGGTTCTAACATGGTATCAGAGCCACTCAACCGCATATGCGGATCTGGATCTTCCTACCTTTGCGGAATCCACTCCCGCACTCTTCGGCTAAACCGCCTTCAACATTCATCGCTCGACGTAAAGCATCGTCATCGACCTAATCTTCCCAGCCGGATTTTTTTCCGCACCGTCTTCATCGCCGTTGATTCGCGACATCTTCCGTGGGCAGATTCTCTCCCGCGCTACCTTTCCTTCAGTTACGAGGCACCGATTTCTGCTTCTCACTTAAGGTAACCGTCGCTACCATTTCCTCGCCGCTCTCCCTCATCACCGCGGCTTTGTTCCGCCGTTCTTTCCGCTTCGGCGTAACCCTATTCTTCCCATCTCGTCAATCGTCGGGCTGCCGCCCGTCGCCCTGCAGCTTCTCTTCGGGCTGCCGCCCGTCGCCCTGCAGCGTCAACTTCGGGCTGCCGCCCGTCGCCCCGCAACGGCACCTCCATCACCTTGCAGCTGAACAGGTGAAGTCGCGCAGCTGAGCAGCCGTGTAGCAGTGAAGCTGAGCAGAAGTGTAGCCGCGAAGCTGAGGGTGGTGTGTAGGGGGGTGTGTGGGAACAGGGCTAGTAGTTAGTCGACACTACCAAAATCGGCCGATTCAACCTATTTTCGTCGGCATTAAACCTTCTACGAGACATCTTGAAGCGGCCGACATTGACGTTCTTCGCTCTTCGGGACCTTCGGATTTCGAAATCGCTAAACCTCTCCTCAAATTCTCCTTCATAAACCCTACTTTACAATTCTCCTTCGTAAACCCTAAACCCGAAATTTTTATCGGTGATTTAAGAGAGAAATTTCGCGCGAGAAAGATGTTCTTCACCATGGCCTTCGCCTCGGCAACCATCAACTTGTTGATCCCTGGTACCGCCATGATTAATGAAGCAACCTCGCAGCACATCGGCTCACGACAGGCACCACAGTACATAGAATTCACACTGAGCTGATTCAAGCTTCACCATTCTTGCCAAGGGTTCGTCCACAGTCACGTGTCCTGCCTTCCCATCTGGCACAGTCATGGGCATGTGCGTGCCTTCACTACGCCACAATCTAGTGGCTCAAAAAGAACTTCAGGAGGCAGGGGTCCGCACCATAATTTCGGAGTACAAGGACTATTGTGACATCATCAACCCACTCACCAACAAAGTCCTAGCTCGCTTCACCCTCAACAGCAGCGGCCTCTACAGGCTGCATGTACCTATCCCACAGGTGTCAACCACCCAAGCACAGGCCACTTTCACACCATGCTCATGTCGCAGTTTCTCTAACCTGACCATCCTCTACCACCATCAGCTCGGGCACCCAAACTTCCGCACGCTCGCTGACATGGCCTCCAAGAAACTTCTTCTCGGCCTACCAGCCTCACTTCCTCCACCACCTGACTCTCCCGCTCCCACGTACCTTGACTGCACCAAGAGCAAGCTACGCCAACAGCCCCATCCTGACTCACCCTCAGTCGCAGCAGCCTCACTGGACCTAGTGCACATGGACGTCTGGGGCCCTGCCCCTGTTGCCGCACGAGGCGGTTATCGCTATTTCTTTACAATAGTTGATGACCTCTCACGATACGTCTCTGTGCACCTCCTCCATACTAAGGCTGAGGCTCCTGAGGCCATCATAGCGTGGGTTAACCAGGCACAGACCACCTTTGGCACCAAGGTCAAGCGCCTCCATTCGGATGGTGGCGGTGAATTCTGCAACGACAAACTCAAAGCCTTCTGCTCCTCTTTCGGTATCTTGCAAAACTTCACCCTTCCTGACAGCCCGCAGCAGAACGGCATCGCAGAGAGCCGCAATCACACGTTGGCACAGATCACCCGCTGCCTCCTCAGCCACTCCAACGCACCACTCTCACTCTGGGGGTACGCCCTCTACCATGCCGCCCTCCTCTACAACCTCTACCCCCACCCGCATCTTCCTAACACCACTCCCACCACACTCCGGCTCGGGAAAACACCCACTGCTCGCCCCCTTTGGGTATGGGGATGCACTGCCTATGTCCTCCTCAACCCTCAGGCTCGGCGACAGCAAGGTGGCAAGCTCAACCCCAAAACTCAAACGTGCATCTATCTTGGGCATAATGCCGACTCCCCTAACTACCTCTTTCTCAATCCCTCTACTCAAAATTTTATATGGAGCCGCGACGTCGTCTTTCACGAGACTCGCCCCTTCTACTCCTCCTCGGGGGGGATCCTTCCTCCGGACAACCCTCTCTTGTGTGGGCTGACTTTGATGCACCTCCTGAACTTCCACCTGCAACACCTCCCTCATCTCCTACCTCTCCTGCCATCGCATCATCCCACTCTGAGGTCTCTGACCCGACCTCACCGGTAACCACGGCAGCTGCTCCCTCATCTCTCCCCCCTCCCACTCCACCAACTGCGCTCCCACCACCAAGCGCACCAATCACATACCATCGGCGATCGAACCCTCCAGCCCCACCTCCTCCCCCCGTTCCCCCTTCCGCCCAGGAACCCGCTCCCCCACAACCGCCCGAACTGATCACGTACCAGCGACGGCCAATCCCTCCGCCCAGGCCTTCTAAACCGTCCCCTCCAGGAACGCCTGCTCCACCCTCTTCTCCCATGGCTCATGGCACTCGGTCGCATGGGGCTGCTCCCCCACTGACACTTGTCATTCGATGCTCAGTGATCACTCCGACTCCTCCTGCTGGGGGGGGTGTGCCCTCCACCCTTCTGGAAGATAGGCATGAGGAGCTGTGTGATCTTCACGCTGTCATTCCCCAGCTCTCGCACATCTTCCCCGATATCACTGAATCACCCTCGCTCAACTTCTCGGAGAATCCGACCATCCCTATCCCTCTCACCGTCCAAGAGGCTCTTTCGGGTCCCCATGCTGCCGAGTGGCGCGCTGCCATGGAAGTTGAGTGTGAAGTTTTTACTCGCAATCACTCTTTCGACGATGAAACTCCACCTCCAGGAGTTAACATCGTTGGGGGCAAGTGGCTATTCCGAGTGAAACAGCTTCCGAATGAGGCCCCAGTGTTTAAAGCGCGCTATGTGGCCAAGAGATTCACTCAGCAGCAATATTTTTACTTCTTCAAAACCTTCTCTCCCACATCCAAACCACCCACAGTTCGCACGCTCTTGGATGTAGCCGCATGAGAAGACTATGAGATCAAATCCATGGACGCCTCTTCGGCATTTCTGCAAGGACACCTCAAGGAGACTGTGTTCATGGACCGACCTAAAGGCTTTCCAAGGGAGTTCCCTCCCAACACTGACTGGAAGCTGAATCGCCCGGTGTACGGCCTCAAGCAAGCCCCTCGTGAATGGCACAACAAAGTGAAAGAAGTTCTTCTCTCGTTGGACTTTCACCCATCATTTGCTGACCCGACTCTCTTCATTCGCCGTCACTCTGAGCCATTCTACATCCTTGTTTACGTCGATGACTTCATCCTCGTTGCCAAGGACTCAGCCCAGATGACCTCTGTCCAGGCGGCCTTGAACAAGGCCCTTCTGATGAAAGACCTCGGTGACTTCAAGCACTATCTGAGAATGGAGATCACTCGTGATCGCGAGGCTCGCACCATCTCTCTCTCCCAGGAGTTCTACATCAACAATGTGCTCAAGCGCTTTGAGATGGAGCTATGCACACCCATGGCCACCCCGCTGCCGCTGCAACACCTCCTCACAGCTCCAGCTGTGCCCACACCAGAGGCCTGCTCTGAGCCATACCCGGAGCTTGTTGGGTCCCTCATGTACGCCATGATGTGCACACGTCCTAACCTGGCATACCCTGTCAGTGTCCTCTCTCGCTATGTGGCTCCTGGACGCTTCAATGAACTTAATTGGAAGGCGGCGAAGCGGGTGCTGCGCTATCTGCAGGGCACCAAGTCTCATGTACTCACACTTGGTGGGCTTTCTCGTCCTCGCCTGGAAGGTTACACTGACTCCTCCTGGGCCGATGACCAGACCGGCCGACGCTCCTCCCAGGGCTACTGCTTCACCATTGGGAGCGGAATTGTCAGCTGGCACTCCACCAGGTCGTCTGCAGTCTCCCTCTCCTCCTGTGAGGCAGAGCTCTACGCTGGCACAATGGCGGCTCAAGAGGCCCGTTGGCTCACCTTCCTCCTACAGGAGCTTGGCTACCCTCAGCCCACCCCCACCCTCTGGTGTGACAACAAGAGCACAATCCACCTCTCATAGGACCTCGTGTATCACACTCGCACCAAGCACATCGAACTCCGACACTTCTTCATTTGTGACCTTGTCCAGCGGGAGCAGTTGAACGTGGAGTACGTTGCATCTGACTGCAACTTGGCTGATCTGTTTACCAAGCCCCTTGGGAAAGTTCCTCACGATTGTCTCCTTGGCGCCATGGGGCTCTGCGCTCCACCTTCTCTGCCCTGAGTTCGATTGACGTCTATGGGGGGGTGTTAGTGTTAGACCTCAATCTCACACTTTGTATTTTGTACTTTCTATATCCTAGCGTAGTGTAGTTTTGCACTTTGTGTTTGGTTGGGTGTACACCAACATCCCAACCAAACCCAAATGTGATCTCCAAGCAATCTCCAACCCACCAATTGGAGATTGCCTTGGGATTACCCCCAATCCCTAGAGATTGCCCCTGATTCCCTTCCCATCCTTTCCTTGCCCATCCTGGATGTACTTAAAGAGCTTCAAGCTCGTTACTAATGTATGGATTCTAAGCCTAAGTTCTAACAGCTCCCTCTGCCATGCCGCCACCAACTCTGCTGCGCGCTGCCTGTTCCGCTCCTGGTAGAGTGGATGGGGGGAAAGGGAGGGGGGAGAGGGGCGGAGTGAAGTCAGGGGGAGATAGAGAGTTGGTGGGGGGGGGGGGGGGGGGGGGGGGACGTTGAACTGCCGCAGAAGCTCCCGCTGCCACGCCGTCACCATCTCTGCCGCCCTCTGCCGCCCTCTGCCTGTCCCTCTGCCGCCCTCTGCCTGTCCCTCTGCCGCCCTCTGCCTGTCCCTCTGCCTGTCCCTCTGCCTGTCCCTCTGCCTGTCCCTCTGCCTGTCCCTCTGCCTGTCCCTCTGCCTGTCCCTCTGCCTGTCCCTCTGCCTGTCCCTCTGCCTGTCCCTCTGCCTGTTCCTCTGCCTGTCCCTCTGCCTGTCCCTCTCCTGTTTCGGGGAGGAAAGGTTGGACAAACATGACCACATCAGATCCACTTCCACCGCACTGCACTCCTTCAATGTACGGTGTATCTACCTACCAGCCTACGGCCCACCCATGCCTGGTGCCTCACCTCCTGCGTGGTGGTGAAGAGCAGCACTTGCTGGAACAGCTCGGACCTGAGGCTGTGAGCTAACAAGGTGATGAGCACAAACATGGTCAGATCCACCACCGCACTGCACCCCTCTGGAGTACCCACCCACCTACCCGTATCCAGTGCCTCACCTCTTGTTTGGTGGTGAAGAGCAGCACTTGTTGGACGAGGTCGGATCGGAGGCTGTGAGCCAAGAGGGTGATGAGCACAAACATGGTCAGATCCCATCCACCTACCACCACCGCACTGCACTCCTCCAGCCAGTGTACCCACCCGCCTACGGTCTAGTCTACCCATTCCCTCGGTGCTTTACCTCCTGCTTGCTTTACCTCCTGCAGCACTTGCTCGGATCGGAGGCTGTGAGCCAAGAGAGTGATGAGCACAAACATGGTAACACCCACCACCGCACTGCACCCCTCTGGAGTACCTACCCTACCCGGCTGCATGTCCCCATGCCTGGTGCCTCACCTCCTGCTTGGTTGTGAAGAGCAGCACTTGCTGGAACAGCTCGGACCTGAGGCTGGGAGCTAACAAGGTGATGAGCACAAACATGGTCACACTCACCACCACCACACTGCACTCCTCTGTACCTACCTACCGATGCCTGGTGCCTCACCTCCTGTTTGGTGGTGAAGAGCAGCACTTGCTGAAACAGCTCCGATCGGAGGTTGTGAGCCAAGAGGGTGATGAGCACAAACATGGTCAGATCCCATCCACCTACCACCACACTGCACTCCTCTGGAGTACCTACCCTACCCGGCTGCCTATCCCCATGCCTGGTGCCTCACCTCCTGCTTGGTGGTGAAGAGCAGCACTTGCTGAAAGAGGACGGATCGGAGGCTGTGAGCCAAGAGGGTGATGAGCACAAACATGGTAACACCCACCACCGCACTGCACCCCTCTGGAGTACCCACCCACCTACCCCTATCCGGTGCCTCACCTCCTGCTTGGTGGTGAAGAGCAGCACTTGCTGAAACAGCTCCGATCGAAGGCTGTGAGCCAAGAGGGTGATGAGAACAAACATGGTCAGATCCACCACCGCACTCCGCGTGTCCATCCTCAGCCCATAGTCATACTTATACAACCCGACAATACTAAACGGGTTGCACGACAGCGCCGGCAGGTACGGGAAATACGGGCACTGGTAGACCAGGGAAGCGGTGATTAGAAGGAAATTGTATGCTCGGAGGTAGTTCAGCACTGTGGTCTGCCCTCGGAGAATCGCCGCGTGTTTTCTCGTGCTCAGGAGGGAGAGGGCGAGGTAGCCGCAGTGTAGGAGGTCGTATTAGAGGGTTCCTGTGGCGAATACTAGTATGAGGACTATCCAGAGGAGGTATTTGTAGTAGAGGAATCGCCAGTGGTCCAGAAAGGTCCAGCTGGGTGAGGGCCCTTCTGAGAGGTCGTGCCAGGGGGAGGAGGAGGACGGGGGTGGGTGGAGGGAAGGAGGAGGGGGGAAGGAGGGGTGGGGATTGTGGGGGGAGCGCGGGGTTGAGAGTGGAGGGAGGGGAGGTGGAGGGAGGGAGGTCCATCGGGTGAGGTGCGGTGCGGTATCGAGTGGGAACGATGGGTTTGAATGGGTGGTGGAGGAAGAAGAGGAGTCGGAGGAGGTGGAGGCGAAGGAGGAGGAAGTAGGGGAGAGGAGGAGACATGAGAGGAGGAAGACGATGAAATATGCACAGAGGATCCGACGGTCATCCACAATGCCACCTGGCAGCCAGGAACGGGAAGGGGGGCAGCACTTTTGAGTAAAAGAAGAACTTTTCTGAGACATCTCAAAGAACGGCAAAGCAGGCGCAGAGGTTGCGAGGGTCGCTTGCAATGTGAAGTGTGCTAGCGAGCCAAGATATGAGAAAATCCTGAAAGGAATAGTACAGTATGAATCGCGAGAGGCGCGAAGGACTTAGCTCAACTCGACCCACCCAGCCAGCAGCCCCAGCAAGTGGGGTCCTTTGAGTCCGTGCTGAGCCAGCAGCTTCAACCAACTCGTCCACCCGTCCACCACCTCACCAGCAATTCCAGCCCACACATTACCTATACGCAACCTTTGCTTGACTATACGCACCCAACCCCCAACCGCAGCAAGACTCGGCTCACCCAGCCAGCAGCCCCAACAAGTGGGGTCCTTTGAGTCCGAGCTGATCCAGCAGTCCTGGCAGTTGCGTCTCGGGCGGGTGGGGCCGCCTGTAAACATATAGAAACAACCCAACCGCAGCTCACCTCACCCAACCGCAACTCACCGAGCCAGCAGTCCCAGCAGGTGGGGTCCTGTGAGTCCGTGCTGAGCCAGCAGTCCTGGCAGTTGCGGCTGTGCGTCCTGGGCGGGTGGTGCTGCCTGACAACATTGAACACCCCTCCGCTGTTGAACACCCCTCCGCTGTTGAACACCTCTCTGCTGAACACATCTCTGCGGAACACCCCTTTGTGAAAGTTATCAAACCAGTGTCCCAGAGAGCTTGGGTTCGCAAGCGAGCTCAGACTCGAATCATTGGGAAGATTGACAGGCGAATGGAGGAGAGAGGTGAGGTGTGCTTGTGGAGGGGAGGACAAGTCCAGAAAAGAGCGACGGTTGTCTTGGGAAAAGGAACTTGGATAGAGCGAGTGAGGAGGAGTATGGACAGTGGGCGGAGTTGATGGATTGTGGTGAAGGAGGGGAGATTCAGGGGTATTGCGAAAGGGAGGGGGCGCAGGAGGAGTGTGGGAGTGCAAGGGAGGGGGCGCAGGGGGTGGGTCGAAGGGAGGGGGGCCTGCGAGCATGTAGTACTGCCAGAGGGTGATTGCAGAGAAGGTGACTGTAAGGAGCGGCCAGAGCAGGCGGACGAGGCGTGGAGGAAGGGCAATGCAGAGGCCGACGATGGATGTGTAGAGCAGCGATACGATGTTCTTGACTACAAAGCTGGCAACCAGGAGAAACAAAACGACCACCTGAGGGGGATGGGAGATGGGATGGGGAGGAAACGGAGTAGCAATAGGGTTATCATAGGCGTGGAGGGGTGAGGTGTGGAGGGAGGGCGATGCAGAGGGGGATGTGTAGAGCAGCGATACAATGTTCTTGACTGCGAAACTGGCGACCAGTAGGAAGAGCACGACCACCTGAGGGGCATGGGAGGAGAGGAGATAGTCTCATCAAAGGAATGAAATGAAACAGCGTGGCGTGTAGTCATCTTCATATGCAGGGAGGCAGCACGTTACCTATGAAGCACAATGAAGGTGGGAGGGTTTAAGGTTTAGGGAAGGCAACAAAATCGAGCAAAATCGAATTAGCAAGGGACAAGGAGAACTAGACGAATGAAAAAGACACGGAAAGTCAAATCGAAGCGAACGTGCTTACGTGAAATCCATAGAGTGAAAAGAAGTGTGCCACAGTGTTCTGCACCGAAGCCCACATCGACCGCAGCTTTTGAGGCACCTCAATAGTCGTCTCATGCCTTACATGAAATCCCTAAAGGGAACATAAAAGGTGCTTACATGAAATCCGTAGAGTGAAAAGAAGTGTGCCACAGTGTTCTGCACCGAAGCCCACATCGACCGCAGCTTTTGAGGCACCTCAATAGTCGTCTCATGCCTTACATGAAATCCCTAAAGGGAACATAAAAGGTGCTTACATGAAATCCGTAGAGTGAAAAGAAGTGTGCCACAGTGTTCTGCACCGAAGCCCACATCGACCGCAGCTGCTGCCGGTACCGCCGCGCCTCCTCTGATTGGTCCTCCTCCTCCTCATCCTCCTCATCATATTCATCCTCCTCATCAAACTCATCATCATATCCATCAAAGAACCCATCATCGTCATACGCAGACCCACTCTTATCAATCCCCCCTGTGCCCCTGCCAGTTTTCCCTTCCTCTGTCTTCCCCTTCCCACTTTTCCCCTCCCCCTCCTCCTCCCCCTCACCCTCCTCCTCCCGCTCACCCTCCTCTTCCCCCTCTTCCACGCTACATGCCTGGACCTGAATCTCCTCCTCATGCCGTTCCAGCGAAGCACCACTTACTGCCTTCTCGCCTCGCCTCCATGACCCTCCGAGAGAGAAAACAGAGGAGGAGATAGAGGAAGTGGACACAGAGGAGGAGGCATCAGAAGCACCTCGTGCACGTTTCTCCAAATCCCCAACACTCCACGACCGGAAGCTAATCAGCTTATATGCCCGCTTTGAGTTTGACCCACCTACTCCACCTCCTCCACCTCCCCCACCTCCCCCGCCTCCTCCCTCGCCTCTCCCAATCTGGCTCTGGGGAGGGGTGAAATCCTTCTGTGCGTCCTTTTCTGCGCTGACTCCTCCTCCCTTTCCTCCTCTTCCTCCTCCTCCTCCTCCTCCCCCCTCCTCCTCCTCCTCCTCCTCCTCCTCCTCCTCCTCCTCCTCCTCCTCCTCCTCCTCCTCCTCCTCCTCCCCCTCCTCCTGCCACCTCTCCTCCTCCCCCTCCCACCCCCCTCCCTAATCCTCCCTCATCCCCCCCTCTCACCGTCATCTCCTCTGCATGCACCGAAGCAGCATGCCGAGCCACAGCCACAGCTTCGGGAGGCGCAAACAGCACGCACAGCTCGCCTTTAGGGTCGGCCCGAAGCTCCGGCGGAAGGTCGGCGAGCCAGTGGCAGGAGGCATGGTGGAGCAGGCAAGCTGCTAGGAGCACCGCTTTGGCAGTACACCCGGACGTTAAAGCCCACATTCGCCCCCCTGCCACAGTGCTAATAGCAGTGTCTTCATATAAGACAAGGCCCAGCCACTGCACAAGAAGAGATGAGGGATGAGGCAAGAAAACACCGATTTTAAAGCCGGAAGCCCAAATTGCACAAGTTTTAAAAGGATGACGCGAGGGGTTTTTCCTGGTTTGGGTTTTGGCGAGTGATTCCGATTTCGGGCATTTCGTTTTTTTCGCCAAACCCAGCCAGCCCACGTATTTCGCCCTGGGGGTTGTGTCAGCACCCGAAAGTCCCAAATTGCAGGTGCGCTACTTTTCAAAGCTTGCACACTGCACTTCGTCGAGTTTTAAAAGCATGACCCACGCGCCTCGCAATTTGGGACTCGGGCTTTAAGGTGCTTCAGAATAGAGCTGCAGTGCAACTAATAGCAGTGTCTTCATATGGGAATGATCCCAGCCACTGCACAAGAGGAGCTGCGGCATGGGGGATGGGAAATTTATTTTTGAGCGTAATTAGAACTTGCTACAGCAACAATGGTGCTGCCTTCTTACTAGCCAACGCCTAGTCACTGCAAAAGAGGAGATGGGGAGTGAGGTATGAGAAACGAATATATTGAGGTGCTTCAAACTCATTCATTCAGTGCCAGCTGTGCTGCCATCCACAAAACATTGTTACACACCATAAAGCCCAAAATCTCTGCCACCCACCCACTCACCTGCAGAATTGCGCTGTGCTGTTCCACCCAGGCAGCCAGCCCCCACTGCGCCACCACCACCTGGAACCAAGACTCCAAACTCTCTACCCTTAAACCCTAGGCCCGATCGAAACCCCTAGGTCCCTGCCTCTCACCTGCAGAATTGTGCTGTGCTGCTCCACCCATGCTGCCAGCCAGCCCCCACTGCGCCACCACCACACCACCTGGAACCCAAACTCCGCCACCAGCGCCCTTGGCCTTAAACCCTAACCCCTACACCAGAAACCTTACATCCTCAGCCAACCACCCACCTGCAGAATCGCGCTGTGCTGCTCCACCCATGCCACCAGCCCCCACTGCGCCACCAACCACCACCTGGAACCCAAACTCCAAACTCCCCTTACATTTACACCCTAGACCTGAACCGTATAACCCACAATCTGCCCCTCACCTGCAGAATCGCACTATGCTGGTCCACCCATGCCGCCAGCCCCCACTGCGCCACCAACCACCACCTGGAACCCAAACTCCAAACCCCTTGCCCTTAAACCCTGAGCGCTCTACAAAACTGAAGCATCGTGCTGTGCTGCTCCACCCACCCCGCCAGCCCCCACTGTGCCACCACCACCTGGAACCCAAACTCCGCTACCAGCGCCGCCCCTCCATATAAGAACATCCATCTCGGTGCCGTGCCCCTCACAGCCCTCAGCCTCACACACCCCAGCACCGCCAGCAGCAGGAACCCAAACCCTATCGCGCTGACAGGATACAGAGCAGCGAAAAACGCCGCGCACGGGAGGGCGGTGGGGCAGTGTAGGATGAGTAGGCGTTTGAAAAAGGACACCCAACCGAAGAAGCCTATAAAGGGGTATTGTTCGTGTGACCAGGAGATGACTGGGGGTGGAGTGCTGGTTGCCCCTGCTGCTGCCGAACTTCCAGGTTCGATGACTGGTTCGGGTGCCGAAGCTGCTGCTGCCTCTGTTGCTGCAATAGCAGCGTCAACTGCAGAACCACCAGCAGCAGCAACAGCAGCAGCAGCAGGCGGGAAGTGAAAGGATTTCGAACCCTTGGCACTGAGATGGAGCTTTCGAGAGGGGGGGGCGCAGAGGAGGGGGACTGTGGCATGTGCTGCTGTTGCCTGTACACCCGAGACCTGCCTCCCCTGCTGATTGGCTGGATGTGCTTGTGTATCATGCTGCCCCTGCTGACTCTGTTGCTGCTGCTGCCGCACATTTGGAAATGCCTCAAAGCAGAAATAAGCACGAAGGCAGATCAGCAACGTGGTGCAATCAGCAGTTGCCACGTGTACAGGCGTGCCCAGTGGAGCAAACAGCCCAAGCCGCTCCAGAACAGACAAATCGATCCCAAATTGGGCGGCCAACATAGCTCGCAACTCGGGGTACAAGCTACAGTACCGAAGCAGGAGCACTGTAGCTGCAAACGAGGCGGTCAGTGGCGCCATGTAGGCTCGGAGAGCTGGCGCGGAGGCTCGGAAGGTGGAGGCTCGGGAGGAGTGCAACACAGAGGAGGGTCTTTCAGCATGGGAGGAGGTCGGGATGGAGGTTTGAGAAGAGGTTCGGGAGGAGGAGGTTTGGGAGGAGGTTCGGGAGGAAGGCCAGAGAAAGAGCCAGACCCAGGTGGTGAGGAGGAGGAGGAAGCAAAGGGAGACAGCGGATGGGTGCATATGGGTTAGGATGGTGAAGAATGAGGTGAGGATGAAGTAGGTGTTGGCCTCTGTTGCCAAGGCAGAGGGGTACGCCAAGCAGAGGTACGGCCCTGCAGGCAAGCAGAATGAAGGAAGGAAAAAGTGGGGAGATGGGTTGAAAAATATGGAGAGTACAATTGAAGTGCCTCAGCAAGTGCGGTGAGGATGAAGTAGGTGTTGTTGGCCTCTGTTGCCAAAGCAGTGGGGTACGCCAAGCAGAGATACGGCCCTGCAGGACAAACCAAAGGGAGAAGGGGATTGGGGATTATAAGATATTATTGTCTACGGGCCTCCGAGAAATTAGGGGAGGATGAAGTAGGTGTTGGCCTCTGTTGCCAAGGCAGAGGGGTACGCCAAGCAGAGGTACGGCCCTGCAAACATGCACGAAGGGGGGTTGTGAAGTTGAAGACGAAGGGATTGTTCAGTTCAGGGGTACGCCAAGCCACCTCTAAAATAGACTCTGCTGCCAATGCAGAGGGGTACGCCAAGAAAAGGTACAGCCCTGCAGGCAAGCGGAACGGAGGAAGGGAGGGTGAAAATTTGAAGAGGAAATAACTGTTTCTTAGGCGCCTCTCAAATAGACTCTGTTGCCAGGGCAGAGGGGTATGTCAAGCAGAGTTAGGGCCCTGCAGGGAAGGCAAAGCGTGGGGAATGGAAAATGTGAGGATTATATATGAGGCGCCTTGGAAAAACGCGGTGAGGATGAGGTAGGTGTGCACCTCTGTTGCCAAGGCAGAGGGGTATGCACTTAACGCACTTAACAGCACAACGAACAAACGTCACAACCTGCACATGCCACTAGACTTACAGGAGGGCCCTTCAAGGGAGGCAGGATGAGATGAGACTCTCCAGGTGGGGCTCTAATTGAAGTGCTGCAGCCATGGTAGGAAGGCAGGAGGCTGCTAGCTCTAATGCCTCTCACTCACAGAACGACTGGCACATAGTGCCAGCACACACACACACACACAGTTCACCGTTGATGTCGTCGAAGGTGAACACGATGAAGTCGATGTAGACTTTCTGTAGCTTCTTGTAGCGGTTGGTGCTCGCCTCCAGGGAGGGGTAGGCTTGGTGCGTGAGGGCTGTAGTGGGACAAATAGTGCAGGTGGTTGGGTGTGACGTGCTGAGCGGTTCCGTGCCGTCAGGGCGCAGCAGTGCTCCTGGTACAGTTGTTGAGCGTCTGGCGCGAGGGGTGACTTAGTCGCTGATGCCAGAGATCGTCATCTGCGCGGATTCCGGAGGTGCGCAGGTAACGAGCATGATGTTCCGCTGCCTCTGCTTCTGTCTTGTGGGGAATCTGGAGCACTGGTCCTTCTTCTTCTCCTGGTTCTGCCTCGTTGTCCGGCTCCTCTGCTTCTGCTTCTGCTTCTGTCTCCCCTTCTGCAGGTGCCGACGTGAGGTAGAGGGCGAGGAAGTTGCGATCGGGAATGATGTTGAGAGGAGTCCGCGTACATTCGATCAAGCGTGCGAAGGGGTCTGGGCGAGAGATTGGCCCAAGTGAGTCTCGTGGTGGAGTGGCAGGGACATTCCCCTCCTCAGTCTCCGACCAAGGATCCGACCAGCGTGAGGGTGAGTGGGGTGGTGAAGGAATGTTGCGCGGGCGACGTCCGAGCGGGATAGGGACGCGGGGTGAACGCTCTCTGCGTTATGCAGCCATTTCTCGTTCTATCTCCTCTTCTTCTTCTTTGGTGAGCGGGGCATCCGCGTGTTCGTCTCCTCCCCATCCTCCTGCATCGCCCCATTCGCCAGTTCCCCAACCTCGCACGGTGCCGGATGCGCCAGTTGCGGATCCCCAAGTTGCACCATCCTCTAGTATAAAGTCGTCGTCTCCCCATGCGCCACGTCGTGCTGACTCCTCGTCCCATCCTGCCGCTACGCGTTCCTCATACAGTTTCTGCTTCTTCTCTGCCCTTGCCTTGTCTTCCTCCTCTTTGACGCTCAGCTCCTCTTTTGCGTCAGGATCTTTCTACGCCGTCTCGATGTGGCGGTAGATTTCGCGAGGATAAGGGCGCGGGCGTCCTTCTTCATCGAAGGTTCCAATGTTTGCTTCTAAGACCCAGCGGAGGGTTTCTGCGCGGGGCGTTGGTCGCTCTTGCCGTCGTTGTCCACTGTTTTCATTTTCCTCTCCGAAGATGCGGTGAGTAGTGACAGCGAGCTCCATTTCCGTCATACCCGTAGGTTCCGCCTCGGCGCTTTCCGCCTCTTGAATCGCCGCGAGATCCTTTTCAATTTCTTCTGTGCGGCTTGCCGTGGGTGTGAAGCATGTGGTGCAGATGCCGTCAGGACCGGGTTGATGAAGATTGATTTCTTCAGGGTGGGGGTTGCGGCGTATCCACGGTCTTCCGTCTGGATGCTGCCATGATTCCACGCTCATGTGTGGAAAATCCAGGGGGACGAGGTCCATGAGCTCGTCGGATGATGCCTAGCAGTTGGGGATGTCGAAGTCGAGTACGTAAATGCCGTTGAGCGAGCGGGCTCTTCCGAGGTATTTGTGCGATTCGACGGGTGTGTCCGGAGGGGCGTATGTGAGGATCAGGTCGCGTGTGTAGGGATCTGTGGCGAGCATTACTTCGCAGTCTCTGCGTTGTCCTGCTGACAATAAGTTGAAGCGGAGATCCGGCACGTAGAACACGTCATTAAACGTGATGTGCGTGTTGCTGTCCCGAGCTTGCAACACCACGATGCCTTGCGCATTTGCGCGCAGTTGCTCGTTGTTGGCGACAGTGACGTAGGTGGCGGGAGCGCGGCTGATGTTTGAGATGTAGCGGACAGACCCCACCATGTGCTGCCCGCAACAGCTATCCAGGTACCAGGTGTTATGGTTGTCGACGTTGTTATTGCGCAGAAGGAGAGCGAGCCGCGGTGTCACCAGAGTCGCCTTGTATCGTCTTTTGAAGAACTCATCTTCTCTCCATCCCACGGGAACGTAGTGCTGATTGTCGTGGGGTGGAATTTCCCGTAGTTGTATTGGCTGGTGCCAATCCTGCTCGTCCTCGTCATACCGGTAATAGTGGTCTTCTGTGAGGGGATTATTACACCCTTCTTCAGGTTGAATAAGCTCGCCGCAAAGTTCTTCTTCCTCATCTGGTTCGGCGGCACGTGGGCGACGTCTTGTCGCCATGTTGGCAATCACGTTTCTGGGAGCTCCTGCTTGAGATCCTTGTGCCTGCTGTTGCTGTTGGTGTTGTGCAGGAGGGCGTGGGGCTTGTTGCTAAGGCTGAAAATGACGAGCGTCTTGTCGGCCGACCCAATTGTTGTGGTGAGTGGAATTTGGGTGGCGATTGTTAGACCGGAACTTGCATTGGTCCGTTGAATGTCCGAAGACTTTGCAGATTTTGCAGTAGTGGCGCCTTGGCTGTCGTCGCTCTTCACGGTTGTCTGTGTAGAAGGCGAGGCGCTCTCGGCGCGGCGCGGAACTTGTCCTGCTCGAATCCATGTCCTGCTGTTCAGTCAGGAGGGCGGCGCATAACGCGGCTTCAGAGATAAGGGATGAATGAGAGCACGATGAGGGAGAGTTTGTTGTGCCAAAGCACTATAGTGGCACGGTCATCGCACTCCCATTCAGCCTACAAGCCTGCTCAGATTCTGGAATTTTGTGGGGAGGTGCTTCAACATGTGTTCTTCACACCCTCAAAGTTTCCGAAAATTTGAAGCAGTGTACAAGGCATGGCAACATTTTTTGTTTCAAGACTTATGGCATCCCGGAAGTGTGTCGGATTAGCGCTTTGCAGGGCTTCCACTCTGGCCCGAGTCCTTGGAGGACGATGTTGACGAAGATCTCCTCCGAAATGGCGCTTCCATGCTTCGTGATTTGGTCACGAACATTCCGACAGCAGCTAATATTTGAGTTTGCTTTCTCCCCGTGCCCCATCTTGGTCTCCATGAGTTGCTGGAGGAGCCTGCTGGCGGTGACCGAATCCTTCGGTTGATACACCTCAACGAGATGCTTCCAGGCTTTCAAGGCTAGAGCGGCGCTCTCTTTGTAGGAGCGAATGTTGAGTTGTTCTGCAGGCGTCATATTACGTAGCAGCACACTGTACGCCATGAGGGACTCGCTGTAGTACTGAGTCCTGGCGTCTTCGGTGTCTTCCACCGGTTTTGCGTAGGAGCCGTCGAAGTAATGGTAGATCTGCGCTGTTTGTAGGAGGAGCTCAAGCTCGAAACTCCAAGTGTAAAAGTCATTGCCGTCAAACGCGGCAGTAGTCTTAAAATTTGAAACGCTGAGGAAGCGTGCTTGCGCAGAGTTAATAACTTCATCACTTGGACGGGGGGCCGTTGTTGTTGATTTGTCTGTGTCGAGGGAGAAGGTGTGCGCGGCGGCATCACGGCTTTTCGCAGCTGGTTGGGAAGAGGTTCCCGCATCGCCTTTGCGCAATTCTTGGAGATCTTTCTCCATAGTTGAGAGTCGCGAAAATAACTGCTAGAGTTCGGCAGTGCTGATCGTGGTTGTCGCCTCATTTGTCGCAGCCGGGTTGGTTTGTCCTTCGGCCGTCAGATTTGTTTGGCCTCCGGATCCTCCGCCCATCTTGGTCTTGGACTGTGTGCCGCTCGCCAGATCTTGATTCGGCGAATTTTACGGAAGTGAAGTTGCGATGAATCCCTGAGTAGCTCTTATACCATGTTACAATCCTAAGTAGGACTTAGCGAAGGATCGCTCAGGGTTGATCGCAGGGTAATGTTGCAGCAGAAGTGTCGACCTCAGGTCAGAGTGAATGTAAATGACTGAGATGATAATATCATGCATACATTGGGTTTATATAGGAAATACAAAGGAATACGAAACGACCTAGACTAGCCATGCACTCTAAGGGGTACATTCCCTTATTACAACGAAGTTCAAACCGTGCGGCGCGGGAACCCGTTTCAAACCTGTTCCCGCTCTTTTCACTTCAAATGTTTCTGCCTGCATCGGTCTTGATCAGACGGTTACCAGTGTCACTTCGACTCTTCTGACTCCTCGGCTTCGTACACTTTAGAGTCGGCCCCTGCAGCATACAGAAATGCCTTCTCACAAAGTTTCATATCGTAACAGGACGTATCGTTGAGACGTACCTATAGGTGCTTGTGCCGTTTCATAATGGCTAAGAAATCTAATGTGTACTGTTTTGGAGTCCAGTGTGGCTAGTGCGAAAGATGAAAATACATTGGGATGTGTTCGGTCGGGTTGATTTCTCTGGCAGGATATATTACTGCAAGTTCTTGTTTGGAGTTGACACATAAATACACACATTATGAAGATAAACTACAAAGCGCACAATACATCAACAGTTGTAACTGTTGACCCAAATATTATTAGTTGTAGCATTTAAGTTGTGATCTAACTCATACATTAGCCCTCCTGAACGTGGACTCTTAACATGGACCTTTATGACGAGTATATCTACCAAAACAAGGAATATTCGTTAAATTCTCAGGAGATGCGTCCAAGTCAGCAGGGGCGCTCCAGCCCATGGGGCATTGGTTCTCCTTCGTGACGCTGGTTCCTTATGGCGCGCAAGCTTGTTTCGACAGGATTCCCTCGATCCTGCCTGAACTACGCGACAACGAATTACTCCAACTTGATTTAACTCGGAGATTTACCTTTCTGCTAAGAAAAGCTGAAGTAGAAAGAGAATACCAGGTTACGTTTAGCTTTGCAAACGAAAATCTTTCACACTATAGGGTTTAGGTTTGAAAGTGAGCGAAGACCAGACGAGCGGGTTTGGGACGAAGGTGTGGAGCAGTTGATTCGTAACCAACTCTTCAAAAGCCTAGGAATTTGAAACTCTCTATCAAATGCAAACGCAAGCTTAAGTACTGGCATTATGAAGCACTTCTGAGACAGTTGCAGTGTGACATCCAGAGCGAGCAAGTGAACTCTCTGCATGACATTCCAGTCGTTCTTCCTGGTTCTACGCAGAAATACTAACTCATGATATCCTCGGATTTTGAAGTTCAGATCTGTCGTAGTCCGAACAAATACAGTTGCATCGCGAGAGTACACTACGAATCTCAATGACTTGAGGGGAAGGGCGGTTTGGTCGTTTACAGCAAATCCAAGGCAGCGCGATTGGCTCAACTTTTACCACACCGAATCACTGATGTAAACTGCTGCCAGCCACCAATGTTATTGAATATTCGTGTGGCGACAAGGGGCTGTTCGAAAAAATCATGGGTGACGAGGACACCAAGCCATGGGGCTGGTTCGGTTCAGTTCGGCATGAGGTTTGGGCCTGGCGAATTCTCGCGTTTTGTTCCAACCTTGGTATCGTATCCACCGTGAATCTCAAGGTTGCCATACCAGCTAGCCCACGAACCCTAGGGTTTTCCCAAAGGTCGTCGAAGTGTAGGAGTTTGTGAACAAGTTGGTGCTTGTTGTCAACCCCCAACCCTCCTGCTAAAAATGCTCTCCTTCTGCTTCCTACACTCAACTCAACCTGCAGGCTACCAATATCCCTCAGATAGCCTGCAGCGGTTACTAAACCTGCTGGGCAAGAGAAATTGGTTTGCATCATGGATAGATACCATGGAACGACTGCTAACGGGCTACCGGATCTGGTACTAGTCATAGAAACAACACATTTTTCTGTCACATGCACTACTACTTGATAAAAGTCCTCGGTGATTTTTTCTCTCTCTCTCTTAGGTCGTATCCCTGGCTAGTGGCAAGAATGAGAAAGTGGCAACCTGAAGTCTTGGAGCGCACGCGATTGGTCCAAGAAAGACAATCGGCCAATCGCTTGGGCTCCAAAGTTCTAGGTTGCCACTTTCTCATTCTTGCCACTAGCCAGGGATACGACCTTAGAAGGATAAGATGGAAGTGTTGAAAGAATACTTGAAGAATCTCCAAGAGGAGCGAGTGAAGGTCTTGATGTTTAAGAGGGACTTGCCTCTGTGCTTGGATCTTATTGACAACGGTAATTGAAAAGAATAGAGACTTATGTCTTCTCTGTCTTCCTCTCCCTCTCAAACGGTCCGTTGTATTCGTGTAGAGGAAGTTACAGGCATGCAGGTGAGAAAAAATATGAGAGACAATGAGAGATGGGAAGAGAAAGGAGGGGATCTGGGAGGGGATCTAGATCCCTCCTTATCCCTCTCACATTGCACTTCACCCCTCTCATTGTCTCTCCCTCTCTTTTTCTTCTTGTTTGGTAAATCGTGGTCTTCTGATCTTCTCTTTCTTCCACCTCTCCTTCCCCCCATCCCCTCCGTCTCCCCTTTCTTCCTCCGTGCTAATCTAATATTGGATTTGGACACTGTGCAATCACTCTGAGAGAGGAAGTGTTGGAAGTTTGATGCACATCATATGCATTGTAAACAGCACAAAATACGGAACATCCTGTCTACTTAAGCATGTTCTACGACCGAATCGTTCTTTTCTCTTCTTAGGTTATTAACAGCCGTTCGTTCTTCGGTTATCAACAACCGTGCGACCGTAACCGTGCACATACACAGTTACACTTGTGCATGTACGTGTTGTGTGTATAACACACTCACACATGCAAGATGAGATGTATATGTCTGAGTGCCCAAATGTATGCTGCCAAGGTAGTTATCTTTGGTGGTGCTGGTTGTGCAGATGCGGTTGCTACTTTTACTGCTGCTGGTTTGCTGCCTTTGCTGCTGACATCCCCAATGTTGCTGCCTTTTATTCTGCTGCTTCTGATGCTTCTGCTGCTGGTCATGTTGCTCCTGCTGCTGCTGCCGCTGCCGCTGCTGTTGCTCCTGCTTGCTTCTGCTGCTGCTGCTGCCGCCGCCGTCGCCGCCGCCGCTGCTGCAGCTGCTGCTGCTGCTGCTGCCGCCGCCGTCGCCTCCGCCGCTGCTGCAGCTGCTGCTGCTGCTGCCGCTGCCTGATGCCGTTGGTGGTGAGGATTCTGCTGTAGCTACTCCTTCTGCTGCTGCCGCTGCCGTCACCTCCACCGCTGCCACTGCTGGCGGCACTGCTGCTCCTGCCACTGCCACTGCCGCTACCTTGCACTGCTGTTGGTGCTGCTGTTGATGCTGCTGCTGCTGCTGCTGCTGCTGCTGCTGCTGCTGCTGCTGCTGCTGCTGTTGCTGCCGCTGCCTGATGCCGTTGGTGCTGAGGATTCTGCTGTAGCTACTCCTTCTGCTGCTGCCGCTGCCGCTCTGCCGCTGCTGCCGCCGCCACTGCCACTGCCTCGTGCTGTTGCTGGTGCTGCTGTCGCTGCTGCTGCTGGTGCCCCCGCTGCTGCCGCCACTGCTTCTATTCTTGCTGACGCTGGCTAATGCTGCTGCTGGTACGGATTCTGCTGTAGCTGCTCCTTCTAGTGCTGCCACTGCCACTGCCGCTGGTGCTGCAGCTTCCCCCTGCCGTTGCTGCCGCCGCTGCTGCTGTCACTGCCACCGCACCGACTGCTGGCGCTGCTGCTGCCGCCGCCGCCGCCGCCGCCGTTGCTGCTCCTGCTGCTGCTGCTGTCACTGGTGATGATGCCACCCACCCACATCGTTGCAACAGCAACTGATGCTGTTGCTGCTGCTGGTGCCGCCGCCGTTTTTTTAATGCCAGTATTGCAAATGCAAGCTTGACGTCGTATTGCAAAAGAAAGAAAGAAAGAAAGGAAGAAAGAAAAAAAAGGGAAAGAACACCCTAAACCCATCAACCAAAAGCCACTCCTCCTTCTCCTCTCTCCCCCCTCCCCCCTCCCTCCCCCCCCCCACCTTCTTCCGACCCCCACCACTTTTTCTCCTACCTCTTTCTCCATTTTCCTATAAGCACTCGCTTCCCGGCCTTCCCTTGCAGCGCAACCGTGCCACGACCGCGGACGTCCTGCAGCGCCCCATTGAAGCCACGCACATGTTTCACGTCGCCGCTCGGCCCCAATTCGACGAAGGCCTCCTTCGTCCCCATCAGGTGGTGCGAGCAGCCGCTGTCGAGCAGGACCACCGCGGGGTTCGCCTGCACAGCTGCCGCCACCGCCTGGAAATCCTCGCCAGCTTCCGGCGCCAGCGAGACAGTCGGCTCCACGATACCGACCAGCGAGCACGACGCCTCCTTACCGTCTCGCCCTTTGCCACCCGCGGAAGAGTCGGCATCCTTCGCCGAGGTCGATTTCGTCGACTGCTTTTCTTTTCGCGGTTGGTTTCCTCGACGCGGACGACGGCTGCCAGAACTTCCGCGGCCTCCCTTCGCGTCGTCGTCGTCGGAATCGCTGCGGTCGGGGCACTCGAAGGAGAGGTGATCGGGATCGCCGCACAGCCAGCATTCCCGACGTCGACCTCCTCCTCCACGACCGCCATCCTTGGACGACTTCTGCTTGTCAGCGTCCTTCGCCGGCTTCCCGCCACCACGGTGACTGCCACCAGACTGCCCGCGCTGTCCCAGGCGACCACCTTGCTTCGCGGGGGCCGCGAAATGGACTTGCGCGAGGAGCTCTTGGGACCGCTCAGCCTCCTGCATCGCCTTGTCCTGCAGGATGTACGAGGTCAGTGTGTCCTCGTTGAGCGTCGCCCGCGTGCTCGGCGCCATCGACAGCCGCTTCAGCAAATTGTAGCTGCTCGGGAGTCCTTGCATGACGTGCGTGACGTACGAGGCCGTCGAGTATTCCGCGCCAGCCATCCGAATGGTGGCGAGAATTCGCCGGGCTCGATTGCAGTAGTCAGTCGCGGTCTCCTCGTCGCCCATACGCAGGTGCGTCAACTGCCCCTCAAGCTGGGAGATGAACAAGTCGTCGGTGACCTGGTAAGTTGACTCGATGAAATGCCACGCCCGGTGGCCGGCGTCGAGGTACTCCCTGCACGACTTCAGAGCGATCTGTACGCCCGGCGAGCAGCACCGCGAAATGACCGTAAAGGTCAGCAACTGCACGGCGCGAAACTCTGCTCGCAGGTCGGGGTGGTGCTCCTCTGGCGTCGCCACGGTCCCACGGGCAAAGCCCATCAGCCCGGCCATCTCCAGCTGGGGCTCGATGGCTTCCTTCCACGTAAGAATGTCGGGACGACCGACCAGCAGAGGGGTAACCGAGATCCTGTCCGGCGTAAACTTGAAGTAGCCGTAGCTCGGCGCAATTCCTCCCGTCGTCACGTGTGTCGCCGACATCGGCGCCAATTCACTTCGTCTGCCTCCGACGTAGTTTCGCGGGGCCCCTGCAGCCGCGAACGACTGCATCCCTCGCGCCTGAACGCCGCCGACTTCATCGGCGTGTATCACACCACGCTGCCTCGACATGCCTCCCGCACTGCTGCCGACTTGGCCACCTCCGGCGTTGACGCCCACGTCGACGCCGCCCTCTGTGTTCACCGGTCGAGGAGAAGCAGGCTGAGAAGGAGGGTGCTCCGTCGCCCACACGGCGCGGATGCCAGCCTCGACGACCGCCCACGGGAGGTCGCCAAACTCCTGCGCCTCATGGCGTCTCCTCGCGCCTGCCAGCCGTGCCTCCATGGTGTCTGCAACACCAGCGTCACCCACGCCAACCATGGTGGTGACTCGCACAGCTGCCGGCCTACGAACACAATAGGTAAGTGACTACTACGTCGACCTGACTGAAAGGTAAGTCGCGTGCCGTCCACGCTCACCGCACCATGCGGAGATAACTATTGCAACGGGAGCTAGACTACGGGCTAGGCACGGATGCTCGTGTGATCTCTGCGTTCGTTCGTTCCTTAGTCGTTTCCAAGTGCTAACATTGCTTGCTAGTTCACGGGGAAAATCGGCAAGAGTTTCACTAGGAAAACATAACAACAAAAGTTCAGAATGATTTCAGCAACATTGGCAACAATGACTACATCAGACCTAGCAAGGCTGCTGGTCCACTGCCAGCGCAGCACGGTCGACCGCGTGCCAGCACGACTTGGTCGACCGCGCTCCAGCAGAGCAGAGTCGCGGCTTGCCAACGTTGCAAGTCCGCGGTGCGCCAACGCTGCAGTATGTCGGCTGCACAGCGTCGCATCCGCGGGACAACGGTGCACCAGCTTCGCAGGTGCGTGCAGCTGGTTGGCGCCCAACTCCCCGTCACTTGCCCAGCGCAGACACTTCACCCGTGACGGCGCCCACCAGCCACGTCGACCTCGGGATACCACCCCCGAGGTCGTCCTCGCAGACAACATCCCCGGCGACTTTCGCGCACGTCGCCCGGGTATCCTGGTTGACCGGGTATTTCGCGGTCCTCCCGCGGTTTCTCGGCCACCGCGGTCCTCCACTGCGATTTCGTGGCTCCCACGGGCCACTGCGATTTCGTGGCTCCCACGGGCCACTGCGATTTCGTGGCTGCCACGGGCCACTGCGATTTCGTGGCTGCCACGGGCCACTGCGATTTCGTGGCTGCCACGGGCCACTGCGATTTCGTGGCTGCCACGGGCCACTGCGATTTCGTGGCTCCCACGGTCGGCTCCGCCCAAGCGAGGACGGGGCCAAACACAACTCCCGTTGACAACTAACACAGCTGCCGGCCTACGAACAAGATAGGTAATGCGCAACTAAGTCGACTAGACTGAAGGTAAGTCGCGGTGCGGCACCATGCGGAAATAGCTAACACAACGGGAAAGGCACGGGGTGCTGGGGTGGTCTCTGCATTCCTTAGTTGCTTGCTCGTGTTCACACTGCTTCGCAGGTGCTCGCAGCCGGTTGGCGTGCTGTGCCTCGCAGATGGCAAGCTGACCATGTGGCCACGACTGCATCTGATCCTCCACGTCGACCTCGTGATACCAGACCGAGGTCGGCCTCGCAAGAATCTCATGGGCGACTCTCGCGCACCCCGCAGTGCCCGTCGCCCGGGTAACTGAGTCGACCGGGCAACCAGGTTGACGCCACCAGGTCGGCGTCCAGGCGCCCAGGTCGGCGTCCAAGCGCCCAGGTAGGCGTCCAGGCGCCCAGGTCGGCGTCCAGACGCCCAGGTCGGTGTCCCCATCCTCCCAGGACGACGACTGCCCTCGTCGACCCCGGTTGAAGTCGGCCACCGGCGCCCGGCGTCGGTGGCTTCGCAGTGGCCCCCGTGCAGGTCGACCAAGCCGTCGACCTACGAGCCAAAGCCGGTGTCTGCACCTCCCGTACACCCGACCACGACGTCGGCTCCGCCCAAGCGAGGACGGGGCCAACACACAACTCCCGTTGACAGTGCTCTCAGCGCTGCAGCTCAAGCACGGCCCAGCCGGGGCCTGCGAGCAAGGCGACACCGTTTCTGACCAGGAGGGCCACGTGGCTGCGGTGGCAGCTGTTCCGGATTTACCGCATGCTGCCGTTTCTCTACGAGCTGCATCTGATTCTCGACTGGTGGTGCACCAAAACGACTTTACCTCTGTACGACTGGCTCATGGTATGCTACTGCTAGCCTGCTAGGGAGTGATGCATGCTATGCTGTTAGCAATGCAACTCTGTGCTCTCAGCTCTGCAGCTCAATTACGGGCTGCCCGGCCCGGCGAGCAAGGCCACGCCGTTTCTTCTAAGAGCTGCATCTCATTCCCCTGCTTCTTGACTGGTGGTGCACCAAAACCTCTCTGCCTCTTTGCGACTGGCTCAAGGTACGATGCCAACATCAACACCCTGTGCCTTGCCCTGTCTGTTTGCCAACTCTCTCCTGCCATCTCGAGGCCTCCACTCCTGACTCTACACCTCTACGCCTGCCCTCATCCTTCTGCTTCTCCCTCCTCCTTCCTTCCTCCACTCCCCCCAACAGCTGGGAAGACATATACGCCAGTCTCTACCTTGTCACCTGCAATCGCAAGATATCAAGGCAGTAGGAGAAAGGCTATGCCAGACTGCCTTTTGTGCCCTGCCTACATTGCTCTATCTGTCTTCCACCATCTCCACCCCACAACAGCTAGAGGACATATACGCCAGTCTCTACCTCGTCACCTGTGGCCGCAAGATAGCAGCACGCGCGAAGCACAAGCACGGCTATTCCGGTCTATCTTTCCCCCACCCTCCTCCCCCCCCCTTTTCTCATACAGCTAGAGGACATATACGCCAGTCTCTACCTCGTCACCTGTGATCGCAAGATAGCGCGTGCCGGGCACAAGCCAGGGCAGCCACAGGGGTGGGGGGTGAAGCTCATGGGAGGGGCCTTCTTCTTCCTCGCTTTAGTCACAGTCATCTGGGCGCCCATGCTGGTAAGTCCTTCTGGCACAGTCAAACAGCGATTTGCTCACACTAAACACAGTTGACAGTGCTTGATATTGCTGCTTGCTTCCTCGCTATAGTCACAGCCATCTGGGCGCCCATGCTAGTGAGTCCCGTTATTGTCACGGTTGCCACCTCCTCCTCCTCCTCGTCCTCCTCCTCCTCCCCTTTCTCAAAATTTCCCCGCCCTTTCCGTGTCTACTCAGATCTACAGCAGCGGCAACCCAGCCAACTACCCCAATCTGGTCACAGACGTGCGAGTCAACTTGGTTCTTCAGACCTGCTCCGGTTCCTTCCCCATCTTTGAGGGCGGACAGGAGCGCCTGCTGCTAGACCCTCTGCTCAACCCGGGTCCCGCAACCCCCTTCCAGGTCGCTGATGTGTATTCACAGCAGTTGCAGGAGATGCGTTTCCTGGAAGGTTCCTTCAGGGGAGTTGCGGAGGGAGGTTCCTTTGCTGATCGTGAAGAGCAGGACGATTTTTTGGGAGTTTCTGGAAGGTTCCTGGAGTATCCTGAGGGGGTGGCGGCTTCTGTGGAAGGTTCGCGAGAAGCTGCTAGCCAGGCAGTGGAAGGTTCCTGGAACCAGGGGTCCTACGGGGATGAAAGTCGGCGCACACTTACTGAAACTGAATCTTCTGGTACGCCTTATACTGGTCGCGGATCTTCTAAGAGTCATTCCCACAGCATGAGCCTGTGCTTGTACCCTTTACAAGCATGCCAGGAGAATTGCACCACAGCAACCACCACAGTTCAGCTGCTGACAGCAGTTCTAGTGTACAGTTACCAACATCCACACAGTCTCTCCCTCCTTCCCCCTCCTCTCCTCCCCTCCCTCCACGCTCTCCTCCCCTCTCTCCTCCCTCTCCCCCACCCCCACCTCGAATTCCCTCATGGAATGTCTCAGACGACCCTATCTTGAATTCCACGGGGTATTTACCCGTGGATATGCACCTTGTGTGCGTTTACCCAGACTCCCTCTCCCTCTTTCAGCTAACACCCCCTGCTGAGAGCCGGTTAAGAGAAGCACTTAGGAGATCCGCCACAGGAGGAGGGGGGGGCAGAAGCAGAGGAAGGAAAGGCGGAAAGTATAGTCCGAGCGGAGGGAGAATAAGAGATTTGTCAATATCATCACACCTAGAAAATCCCTTCCCGTATCTCCCAGTTCAATCCTCACTCTCCTCCTCCCGACCAGCCTCCTCCCGTCGCTCCCTCCAAGCCTCTTCCCGAGCCTCCTCCCAAGCCTTCTCCCGAGCCTCCTTCCGAGCCTCTCTCTCAGGTCCGCCAGACCCATGTGCGCCGAGCCTGATAGTCCAGTGGTGGTTCACACGTCCCCGCCCCGTACGAAGGGAGGTGGCGTCATGGGAGGAGGTCTATTCCGGCCTGCCCCCCGCGCTGCTTGCTGATGGGCTGCTGGGGATACTGGAAGGAAGGAAAGCGCTTGGCTATGGTGGTAATGGTGGTGGGGCGTTGGGGTTGCTGCTGCCGGAGCTCTATCCAGTCTACTGGAAGCTTCCTGGTTTCGGCAGGGCGAGAGAGCTGGAAGCTTCTAAGGTAAGGCTTAACATGAAGGTTGGGCAAAACAGGCAGAGAGGGGAGGCGAAGGAAAGAAGCGAGGGGCAAGGGAGGCTGGGGCAAGAGAGAGGTGAAGGGGAGGAGAGGAGGAAAAAAGGGGAGAGGGGGTGGACGAGGTGGGGGGTTTGAAGACGTCGTGTGTATGTGTCCATGTACACATGCGTTGCCTGTCTCTCCATGTGCATGTATGTATCCATGCGTGCAGCTGCGTATGCGTGCGCGATTTGTGCATTCCTTGCTGCACCCATCCCCTTCCAAAACCCGACGTTTGGTAAAGGCCGTTCTGGCCTGAGTATCTCTCTTACCAGGAAGCTTGATTCGGTAATCAGTTTTTGGGAGTCTCGCTTTTTTCTCAGATAAGCTTGCTGCGATGGAAACTGTTCTCAGCAATGGTCGCCTGCTGCCTGCTGCTTGCTGCCTTCAGCTGCAGGTTGACTTATTTTTTAACACGTCTTGACACTGTGTTTCCATTGCTACAAACAACCTCCTCTGCCCTGGACCAGGTCCGTTCCGCCTGTTGCCTGCAACTGCAAGATGACTCAACCAGCAGCAGCGTCAGAAGCAGCAGTGGTGGCAGCAGCAGCAGCGGTAACAGTCGTTGGTGGGTGCTGCACTGTGCTCCTCTCCCTCCTGACTTCCCCTCTCAAAACCCCCCCCACCCACCCCTTTCCCTCCGTGCCCTGAACCAGGTTCGATCCGCCTGCTGCCTACAGCTGCAAGATGACTCTAGCAGCGGCAGCAGTAGCAGCAATGGTGGTGGTGGTGGCAGCAGCGGCGGAGGGAGTGGTAACAGCCGTTGGTGGGTGCTGCACTGTGCTCCTCTCCCTCCTGAATCCACCGGTACTCTCGGAGTGTGCTCCTATAACACGACGCAAAACGCCACCCTTTCACGTGGCAGCATTGGCTGGGGCAGCAGCAGCAGCAGTGGATGGGGCAGTGGCGGTTGGGGCAGCTGAAGAGAGGGAGCAGGAGTGGAGCCTCGAGGTGAAGGAAAGAGTGCCGATGCTGTAGGGAGGGAGAGGGGGCTGGAGGAGAGTGGTGGTGTGAGGGCGTTGGAGGCGTTGGGGAGGCATCAGGGCCTGCTGCCATCACAGTGTCTGAGGAAGTTCCTGGTATGTTCGATTTGTTTTGACACTTAAGGGTGTGTGTGGACAGTGGTGGTGTGAGGGCGTTGGAGGCATGTGGAGAGGCATCAGGGCCTGCTGCTATCACAGTGTCTGAAGAAGTTCCTGGTGGGTGTCATTTCACACACATATGCTTACATCGGTAGGTGCTGCACAGAGGGTGTGGGCGGACAGTGCGGGTGTGAGGGCGCTGCAGGCATGTGGGTGGAGAGGAGAGGCATCCGGACCTTTTGCCATCACAGTGTTTGAAGAAGTGCCTGGTATGTTCGATTCGTTTCAAGATTGAAGGTTGTGGGCGGACAGTGGGGGTGTGAGGGCGCTACAGGCGTGTGGAGAGGCATCAGGGCCTGGGAAAAGCGTCTGGGAAAAGTGCCTGGTATGTCCCTTTGTTCCTAGAATTCTCTCAAAGGTGCGTGTGAGGCGTGTGGAGAGGCATCACGGCCCAACCCCAACACAGCTGGAGTGTTAGGGGAGGCGAAGCAAACGTTGAGCATCACGGGCTTTACGTCACGTTCGTGCTCGCACTGGGGCAACTCATTCCCCATTCCCCACTCCCCATTTCCCTCTCCCCAAACCGCAGCTGGAGTGCTGGGAGAAGCAATGCAGACCTTCAGCATCACGGGGCTCTACGTCACATTCGTGCTCGCTCTGGGGCAACTCATTCCCGCTTCTCCATTCCCCATTTCCCTGTTCCCAAACTGCAGCTGGAGTGCTAGGGGAGGCGATGCAAACCTTCAGCATCACGGGGCTCTACGTCACGTTTGTGCTCGCCCTCGGGCGACTCATTCGCTCGCAGAGCTCCGACCTTCGCCTCAAAATACCCTACGAGAACCTGCCCTCCTGCGAAAGGTAAAAAATCTTTTTCAAAGGACCTGCCCTCCTGTGAAAGGCAAGTTGATTTGTATATTATACACCTCAAAAGCTGAGCTCTGATTCGCCTCAAGATTCCCTACATGAAACTGCCCTCCTGGAAAAGGCAAGTCCTATTTAGGTGCCACTGGGCCGACTCGTTGGTTCTCAGAGCTCCGACCTTCGTCTCAAGATACCCTACGAGAACCTGCCCTCCTGCAAAAGGCAAGCTTTTCTTTGGCGTCTTTAGAGTGTGTTCCTACACCTCGTATCAGACACACCTCGTATCAGCTTCGCGTGGTGAAATACGTTTCAGTGTGTTCGACTGCGGTTGGCTGCGTTTTAGTGCGGTTCTACGCAAATCTGATACGAGGTTGCCTGATATGAGGCCGTAGGAACACGCTCTTAAACTAGGCAATTCAGAAACCTCAAAAACCGAGCTCTGACCTTCGCCTCCAACTAACCTAAGAGAATCTGCCCTCAAGCAATGGCAAGCCCTGTTTAGGCGCCTCTGAAGTAGACAGCCCAGAATTCTCAGGCACCTTAGGAACTTCAGACTTAGAGCTCTGGACTTTGCCTCAGTGTGTGTCGCTAACCTCTACAGTCCTGTGGAAGTGCAGTAGACATTTCAAGTCACCGTTAGTGGACAGCATTTGGACAAGCCACATAGTTGGCTGACTGTTTCTCCTCCCAAAAGAGCATTTCCTCCCCTTTTCTGTTGCCCCAATTGTTTCTGCTTGAACGGCACACTTCCTTTCCATATCCCCGTCTGTGTTGTGTTATCCTTTCTATGCCGATGTGTGTCTTTAATCCCAACACGAACAGGCTCATGGCTATATGCGAAGATTTATACGCGGCACGAGCAGAAGAGGACTTGGAGCTAGAAGAAGGGTTGTATTGGACTTTAATAAAAATATATCGCTCACCACATGTGCTTCTTGAATACACCAAGGGTGACAAAGCCGATTGACCGACATGCAAGATTCCAAATGAGTGTTTTTCTGCACATGCACCTTTTCCACTTCCATGGTATTCATTCGGTAGCATTGGACCTCCGTTATTCAGTACCGTATGCATAAAACGTGTAATGACAGTCATATAACTAAAACATGCATAAACCTGAACCTATACAATATAACGAGAACAAGCAATCCGTAAGAAAATGCAAGACTTCCAGAATCAGGACGAAGCTGTTCGGATGCTGCTGACACCCGGTATCTGGCCGTTGTTGAAGTTTGTGAGCTGGTCGGTTTCGGTGGTGAAGACTCTTGAAGGTTGGGGGTAATTTCGAGTGTGCGAACTGTTCCGGGGGGTATGTTCGAGACAATGTACACCGAAGTGGATTTCTTGTACTCCATTTTCTAACCGAATACGGAAGCTGAATTCAGCTTAGCTTATTTTTGTTAATATATATTTTCTCTCTCGTGCTGCTGGGTCTGCTTTTCCTCCCTGCTTTTGACCTTTGGATGCATTTCGTTACAGTTTTGCGCAGATCATATGCCACACGGTCATCCCGCGTTGATGAGGTGTGACTTCTGGTGCGATTGGTCTGTGGTCACCAATCCCAGTTGCTGTACAGACCGACACCTAGACAGCACTGTTTGATACATTCCCGAGTTAATTTTAGGTTGTCGGTCTACAAAACATTTACTTCCTATGAAGGCGTCTGCAGAGCTGAGACCGCGTATCCATCTACAACTACTCCCAAAAGCCCGATGTTTAGAAAAGCATACCTTCTGTTCGAACACAATTCGTGACCTCGATTAGAAACCCGGCTTCGGATCAATTGAGATGCCCCTGAATTCATCAGGTATACGTGCGGTAATTCGAAGGAAGTCACCCAACCGAACAGACAGCAATAAGAATCGCCCGAAAAGCGCAAGACGACAAACGATGTGACTGCCAGTTGACCTGACGAATCTTGCGACCCACCACCACCACCCACCCACCTCCACCATCATCACCACCAAAGTTCTGAGCTCGGGCTGCTGCCAGTCCTGAGTTTGGCAATTACTCCGAGTCAGCTATTTCGCAGTCTACAGGTACCATAGTACTAGTAGTATAATTTCGTAAAACGCCCAACAGTTCATCGCCGAAATGGCGAATACATCCCTCTGCGGCACAGGGGGCGCCGCCGTTGACCAGAAGCCGGAAATCGTGAAGTCAGAAGCACCGGCGAGTTCGGAGGTTGCTGGAGTGTGCGAGAAAACGTCCACGAAAAGCGTCAAGATTAGACCGCTTCGGGACGTCCTTCGAGACGCAAGCAGAGTCACCGCTGATGCTACTACTAGTAGCACGAGTACCAGCTCAGCCGCGCAGAAACGACTGCCGCCGCCCAGGCGACTCGCCCGGGCCAGCGGAAGAAATGTGCCTTCGCCGCCGCATCGCGTATCCGCCGTTACTAAACAGCCGGCGCACGGCGGCAGAGGCGCGAAATGGCGGCGGCACCCAGCGGAGGCAAAGGGCAACTTTAACGATCCTGGAAAGGGGCGGAGACCGGGATCAGCGCCGGCTGAAGTAGGGCAATCCGGCGGCAGAATCGTCGCGGGTTCCCGGGGGCTTCAACCTAAAGCAGACGACAAGGATTCCGACTTAAAGCCCATGCAAGACTCTGAGGCATCAACTTCGGACGATGACTTGATTGACCTGGCTGACTCCGATGATCTCGTTGCAAGGCAGTGATTATCCGGCGATGATGAGTCATGGTCAGCCGCGTCATCGACGTCAACGGAAGGGCAATCTGAAGGCCTTACTAGCAGCCAGGCCGCCGCCTGTGAAACACCAGGTAATATCTGAGAGCTGATTCTTTTCTGGCGCCGGAATCTTAGGTTATACTTGCCACTTTTTTTGCTTCTGCTCCAAAAGCACCACACTACTAGTACTATCCACAAATAGATTCATGCGGCCTAGGGCACCGCATTGGTACTAGTTGTATTACTTGTACGTTCTCGTGAAAAATACTACTCTTGCACCTTCCTCCATTCTTTTCCCCCCTCACCCCCTTCATCCTCGTTTGTCCGCTTTTCTTTGCACCTTCATCATTTTTGGGATTTCCCCTTCTTCCGTAGTGCTTCCTAGGTTCGCTTCATGATCTATTATATGAAGGAATTAGCCTCTGTTTTGCGCGTACTAAATTCCACATGGCACTCTTTGAACCGCCACCTACTTATCCATCTTTAAACCAACTAAATTATCATCTACTGGTTTCCACACCTGCTCCCCTTTGTTTCCTGCTTCCTGCCCGAGCATCCGCTCCTGCCTCCGTCAATTTCAACACCTCTCGTTTGCCCCCCTCCTTATGCCATCCTCCCGAAATTCTAGTAAGAAAACTAATGCTCGCACATGTACTGGCGATCTCTCCTGATTTATTTTCCTTCCGTTTTGGTCCCTGTCCATGTGCCATCACATGGTAGGTGAAACGGAGAGTAATTTTAAGATGCCCTGAAAAACTGTTCATTTTGAGTTCTGAGACATCTCAAAACTTCGTCCTGGTCCCTGTCCCTGTGCTATCACCTGGAAGGTAAAGCGGAGAGTAATTTCAAGACACTCCAAAAGAACTGTTTATCTCTTCCTGCTGTCCTTTTCACTGTCCCCTATGCCGTTGTTACCTGGCAGCTCAGGAACCTGGTTTTCTTTCCTGCCGTCTTGATCTCTGTCCCCTGTGTTATTACCTGGCTGACAGGTGAAGCTGAGTGTATTCCCGAATCAGCGCAACAAACCTAATTTTCTTTCCTGCCGTGCTGGAAACTGTGCCCTGTGCCCTGACAGTTGAAGCGAAAAAAGGGGCAGGACGAAGCTCAGACACGGCCGCAAGGAGTCGCAAAGGCAGAAACGCAACAAGTCAGCGAAGATTGGTTCAAAGAGTGGAGCAGCTACCATGGCATGCGCTCTCAGAATGGCACGGAATTTGACAGGAAGAAGGTGCAAGCTCTCTTGGAGACTGGTGCATATAGCAACAAAAAGCAGCGGTTAGGTCAGGCGCGGTGTGGCGCGGAAGAGGAGGGCCGGCGGGAGGAGGAAGAGGGGGAGGAGGAGGAGGAGGGGGGGTGCAAGTCACAACAGCAAGGCATGGTTGCAGAATTGAAGAGCGAGGACGTTCAGAGGCCGGAAAGCAGCGAGGAGTCTCTTTCGGAGCGGGAGAGGAGGAGAGGTGCAGATTTGGGCGAACCCGAAGTGTGCTCCAGCTATCATAAGGACTTGGCACCATTTGCATATGGGTTGAAACCCTCTGCAAGCAATGCGAGTAGTGAAATGAAGGGCAATGGTGGGTCCATAGAGCGTGTGGGGACGAGCAGTGGCGGTGGCAATGGCAGTGGCAGTGGCAGTGGTGGCGGGAGTGGTGGTGGTGGTGGCATTGGTGGTGTCGGAGGCACTGGTGGGAGTGGTGATGGTAGTGGTGACAGTGTTGGTGATGGCAGTGATAATGGTGGTGTTGGTGGCAGCTGCACTAGGGTGACAGTGAGCTGCCCAGAGACTATGCCAAACGAATTCCATGCAGTCTTGGATATGGACCAAACTTGCGACACAGACCAAGGGGCTGTTGGGAAGACGGGAGAAGCAGATGGATCAATGAAGGACGTGGATAAGGAAGGAGGAGATGGGGCCGGAGAGAGGGAAGTGGATGGAGCAGGGGAGAATGGAGGGGATGGGACAGGAGAGGCAGAAGGGGGTGATGCAGGGGAGAGTGGAGGGTATGGGACAGGAGAGGCAGAAGGGGGTGATGCAGGGGAGAGTGGAGGGGATGGGACAGGAGAGGCAGAAGGGGATGGTGCAGGTGAGAGTGGAGGGGATGGGACAGGAGAGGCAGAAGGGGATGGTGCAGGTGAGAGTGGAGGGGATGGGACAGGAGAGGCGAAAGAGGGTGGCGCAGAGGGGAGCGGGGGTTGTAATCAGGCTGCAGGTGCGACCAGCGCTGTCAATCAAAGTGCGAATCAGGCAAAAGTGGATGCAGGCAAGATGGTTGTCGAGACAGCAGCAGAGGAGGTAAATGGTGGGAGTAACACTGGTGATAATCACTTCGTCTCTATCACTGGGGAAGTGGGTACTGGACATACTGGAAACGGGATGAAGTGGGCCAGGACAGAAAATGAGCAAGTGGGGTTAGAGAGTGCCGTTGTGCCATCCTTTGACCTCAACTGCATGCCTCCTGGGAGTTGTGGTGATGTCGACAGTTATGGTGATGGGTACAGTGGTGGTGGTAATGGTGATGGTGGTGGTGTTGGTGGTAGTGATGGTGGTCGTGTTGGTGGTGATGTTAGCTGCTTTGGCTTGCATGAGGTGTTGGAAGCACAGAAACTGGTCCAGGGGCAGCCACAGCCGCAGCAACAGCCACAGCCGCAGCAACAGCAACAGCAACAGAAGCAGCAGCAGCAGCAGCAGCAGCAGCAGGCAGTGAATGGTGACATTAGTGAACAAGTGCTATCAGCAGGCCTGCTCTCAAACCAGAAGCCGTCTGATTTGCCCTCTCTTCAGCACCTTGAGTCTGTACATATCAGGGAGCAGTTTCTCCAGCAGTCGCACCAGCAATCCCACCAGCAGCCCCACCAGCAGCCCTGGCACCAACCGCATCAACAGCACCACCAGCAACCCCACCAGCTTCCCCACCAGCAGCAGCCCTGGCACCAAACCCATCAGCATATAGACCAGGACCCTTGCCTTACATCCCACCAACAAATTCCCCAACTACGTAACCAACAGCAGCAGCAGCACAACCACCAGCCCCAGCAGCAGCCCTGCCACCAACCCTATCAGCAGACGTTTCAAGACCCTCGCTTTTCATCCCACCACCGATTCCCTCACCTGCAAAACCCACAGTGGCACCATCAGCAGCAGCCCCACCAACAACCCAACCAGCAGCCCCACAATCAACTCCACCAACCGCCCCACCAACAGCCTAGATCCTCTGTCCCCATTGCTCCCAGTGTGCACACCATGCAGAATCCCACTGGTTCGTGTTGTCACGTAGTGCCTGCTACAGCTGCTGAGGTTATCTTTCCATCCCTTAGCCCAAGCAACGTTAGTACCACCTGCTGCCTCCCTGTTTAAGGCGTATTTGATGTTTCAATCCTCTTTGGTGTGAGATGCAACAGAACTTCCAATGCTCTTCAGGTTAAACTAAACGCACCATTCCTGGATCTATTTCTATAGGCACGATGCACTGTCACGGCGTATGCAGACCCTATTGTACATATTGATTTATTTGACATGCTTAGTGTGCCTCATACATTCGTACTTGAGTGCAACTTATAGAATCTGTATATGTGCAACCACATTGCAGAGAAACATGAGCATGCAAGCGGCGGGTAATTGCAGGATGTGTTGCTGGTAATTGTGCGGGATGGATGCTTTTGATTTTGTCCTTGTTTGAGCTACGGTTTGGTTAAACAATGTGATGGATTCCCATTGCCATTGTGTTACATTTCATCTCTACTAGGCAAACGTAACGTGCCTGTGGTGATTTCCACATCATGTGTGTGCGTGTGCGTGTGTGTGCGTGTGTGTGCGTGTGTGTGCGTGTGTGTGCGTGTGTGTGCGTGTGTGTGTGTGTGTGTGTGTGTGTGTGTGTGTGTGTGTGTGTGTGTGTGCGTGCGTGCGTGTGACACAGAGAGAGAGAGAGAGAGAGAGAGAGAGAGAGAGAGAGAGAGAGAGAGAGAGAGAGAGAGAGAGAGAGAGAGCAGGCGGATAAGAAAATTAAACACTATGCTAGCCGGCCAGACACAGTGGGCTTCTTCCCTCTTGCCGTTGAGACCTACGGATGCCCATGTGCGGAGGTGCCCGTGTTCCTGAAACTACTGGCGGATTCTGCTGCTAGGCGTCACTTCAACGCCGAACCTAACTCCTTTCATGCAGCCAGATTCCTCCACCTCTTCAGGCAACGTTGGTCCGTGGCGCTACAGAGGGCCCAGTCAGTAGGGTACCTCATGAAGTCCTGCCAAGCGGCTATGGCAGAGCACCCACCAGTTGGGGGAACACAGCACGAGCTCCACCTCGGTGATTGCCTCACCGTGATTGAGCCCCTGGTGGAGGTTGAAGGGAGTAGGCCGAGAATAGGTTGCTTAGGTTGTTTGTTAGTTTATTTCTTAGAGTGCCTATCTGATTGTGTGTTCACTGTCCCTATACTTTGCATGCTTGTACTTTGCTGCTATATCAATACAAGGACCATTAGAGAGAGAGAGAGAGAGAGAGAGAGAGAGAGAGAGAGAGAGAGAGAGAGAGAGAGAGAGAGTGAGAGAGAGAGAGAGAGAGATAGTGAGAGAGAGAGAGAGAGAGAGAGAGAGAGAGAGAGAGAGAGAGAGAGAGAGAGAGAGAGAGAGAGAGAGAGCCTTGGGTTCTGGTCCTTTGCCGTTTTTAGCCTAGTTTTTTAGCCTAGTCTAGTCCTTAGCCGTTTTTAGACTAGTTCCCTAGTATATAAGGCCTAGGTGACCCCTTTCCTCCTCATTATTCACTGGTGAGCCCATTCTGCTCTCCAAAAAATCGGCGGCTTTCGTTCGAGAGAGAGCGAGAGAGAGAGAGAGAGAGAGAGAGAGAGAGAGAGAGAGAGAGAGAGAGAGAGAGAGAGAGAGAGAGAGAGAGAGAGAGAGAGAGCCTTGGGTTCTGGTCCTTAGCCGTTTTTAGCCTAGTTTCTTAGCCTAGTCTAGTCCTTAGCCGTTTTTAGACTAGTTCCCTAGTATATAAGGCCTAGGTGACCCCTTTCCTCCTCATTATTCACTGGTGAGCTCATTCTGCTCTCCAAAAAATTGGCGGCCGACGCTCGACAGCGCGGCCTTCGGCCGCGCGTGAGGTGTGGCAAGGACATCAAGGGGAAAGCACTATAAGGGCACGGGTTACACCATGCAATGGGCAGGAAGAAACAACAAACAAAGGCGGCAGCGGGTACAGCACCGCCTACGGAGAGGGAGCAATCAGGAACATCCGCCGATCCATCCAGCGGAGCGCACACGTGAGCGCGGGGACAATCTCAAGTGGCGCCTCCTCGGCCGCCCTGGCTACCTGGCGGAAAGCAGTTGCACCAGGCCCCTCTCCCAGTGACGGGTCTTCAGGCTCAAGGGGCAGGCACAGCATCGTCGACATCGCCTGAGCAGCGGCCTCCCTCACCACCCCCTGCTCGAACTCGCTCAGCTGCGGGTTCCGTGAGGCAAGGTTCCGCCGCCCAATCGTGTGGTTCAGCTGCTCCAACACCGTCGCCACGTTCGACAAACAACGTCCTACACCGCGCATCCGCTGCTCCCACCGGCAAAGGTCGAAGTAGCTCGGCTCCTCTCCCCACTGCCGGCCCCACACGTCCAGGTCCGGCTGCACGCCCCAAGGTGGGTAAGGGTCCCAGTGAGGGTCGGGATCAGGAGCGGTTGGTGGACGCTCAGGCGAATCCCATCCACGGGGGTAGGGGCGACGGGGAGGAGGGAACCAGAAGGCAGTCTGCGGGACGGTTGGCACGAGGGGATGCTGACGTCGGGGTTGCTGCCAAGGAGGTAGCGCCGGCGGAGCAGGGTCTTCAACAAGCGGCTGTGGAGGAGCGACGGGAAGCGCAGCTGGTGCAGGAGGCGCCGTCTGGGGCGGCGCGGACGCGAGCGGTTGCGGCAGCGGCGGCGCTGGGGTCTCCGCCGGTGCCGGCGGCGACGGCGGCAGCGGCGGGGGTACAGGCGCGGAAGCAGTTAACTGCGCCACCGGCTGAAGGGCCGTCCCCGACGCCGACGAGGTCTGCTGCAGCGACGTCGCAGACTGGGACATTGGGGGCGGGAGCTGCAGTGGCTGGGACTGCGCCGCCTGGTTCTGAGGGGACTGACCCAGTGGTCGGAACGCCGGCAGCCCATACTGGCGCTGGGGACGAGGCGGGCGGCGGCGGCGGAAGGATTGCCCGCGAGGCCGTAGTTGGGGAGGTGCCCGTCCTCGAGAAAAGCGGAGCATCGGTTGGCGAGGAGCCGGTGAGGGAGGAGGAGGCTGGGCGACAGCGCCGCCAACCCCGGCCGCAACTACATCCGCGGCGGCTCGGAGCAGGGCTGGGACTTGCCCGCCCTGGACCCCTTGCGGGATGGGAGCAGCAAGAGGACTTGCCGGACGGTCCGGCTGCGGGGGAGGACGTCGCTTGCCCGTCATCAGGAGTTGTGGCGGACGGGACGCAGGGTGCGGGGGCAGATCTAGCGGTGGGAGCGGATCTCGAAGATGTTCTGGAACGCCGCGGCGAGGCCGCGGAACGAAGGCGACAGAGTGGCACGAGCCGTCAGCGAGCGCTGCAGGACCAAGCCGATGATCGCGCGGCAGGACTGCAGCCGACAAACGCGGCGCCAAGGGCGGCGGGGAGAGGCCGAGGGAGGGGGCGGAACGGGGGGAGAGCGCGCAGAGATCTGGCGGGGGCTGTGGCGAGAGAGAAAGCCAGATCTGGAAACTGGCGGGAAAGACACGGGAGGCCAGAGGAGCAGGGCGAAGGTCCAATGAATGAAGGGGAAGGGGAAGAGGGGTCAGAATATATGGCCTCACAAGAGGCTGACTCAGAGGAAGAATCTCTGGATGCCGAACAGGGGGTACCCATCCCAGCCACAGAAAGAGGACAGGGCTCTGGACAGGGGAGGAGGGAGGGAAGGGCTGACGTGGGGGAATCTGCACCGCAGCAGCCCAACGTGGCTGCCAGCAAGGAACGCAATCCCAGCGTGGTCGTGGACGATGAGGACATCTGGCAGAGGATTCACGCATGGGACCTGGGACCACTCCAATCCAGTGCCCAACCCTTTTTGGTTCGGAAACTCCCGCCCGAAATTCTGAATGCATTCTGCCGCTGTTTAACACTCCCACTCCTGCGGCTGTCAAAGCACCCCAACTGCCTCGGCGCGTGGCGACTCCTCCAATATCTACCGAGGCTGAAACTTAGGGCGAGCCTGGAGAAAGTGCCAGGAAACAGATGGGCAGAGGTGGAGAAGCGGCTTCGACAGTTCCGAGAGGAGGAATGGGACACCCTTTACCTGCAGGCCAGCACCTTCCCCGCAAATTCCAAACCCAGCAGACACGAGCCCGACCCAGAAGGCATTTGCGCCAGGGCTGAGGGTTTGGTCCGGAAGGCCAACCTCGCGAAGGCTGTGGCGGCGTTACAAACAACACCACTGGCGGAACCATCGCTAGCGACGCTGCAAGCACTTCGCTCGAAGCACCCAGAGGCGGAGTCGGCGATCCCCGCAGGGGCGGGAGGTTACACCACTTCATCGCTCGCCATCAGTGCAGAGTCCTTCCGCGAGGTGTTGGCGAAGTGCCCGAATGGAATCGGGGCGGGCCCGTCTGGCACATGTTTCGAACACCTCCGTGATCCAGCCCTAACGAACGGGGAGATCTTCACTCTACTGCACGGAACGGTGAATCACCTGCTTGGCACTTACCAGAGCGAGCAACTGCATGACCTCGTCCTGCCCGCTAGACTGATAGCACTCGATAAGCCTGGGGGAGGCGTGCGACCGATAGCTATCGGCGAGGCGATACTTCGCCTAACAGCTAAGGCGGCGCTTAAGGAACTGTCGGCAGAGATCCGCGCGTACTTCTTACCAGTTCAGTTTGGCGTTGCTGTCCCAGGAGGAGCAGAGTGCATCATCCACACGGCGCGCACGTTACTCGCTGAGGATCCGTCTCGGATAGCGCTCCAGCTAGACATTGAGAATGCGTTCAACTCGGTGGAACGCGGGTGTTTCCTAGAATCTATGCGCTAGACAAGCCTGGTGAACCTTCTCCCGTTCGTCCGCACACTTTACGGCAGACCGTCGAAGCTGCTCCTCGACTCTGGTTTCGAAACGGCGTCAATCGACAGCGCGCGGGGAGTTCGGCAGGGAGACCCGCTCGGTCCGACGCTATTCGCGGCGGCTATTCAACCGGCAATCCTTACGACGGCGATAGCGGTCCCCACCGTGACCGTGATGGCGTATGCGGACGACATCACGATCATAGGCGACCCAGTTGAAGCAACACGGGCGCTGGATATGATATGCGGGGAACTTCGCGGGTTAGGCCTGCGGTGCAACTTGGCTAAGTCTACGGCGTGGAGCCCGTCGGGAAACACCGGGAACTTCCCGGAAGGTCTGGTGGCGGCGGTGGATGGGATCAAAGTCCTGGGGAGCCCGATCGGTACGTTGGCCTACAGCAGACGGATGGTGCGAGCAACACTGGAGTCGACGGCGGCACCACTCGGCCTCATCGGCAAGCTACACCCACAACACGCCCTCCTCCTGCTATCTCGGTGTATTTCACGAAGAGTCTCTTACCTGCTCCGTACAACACCCGCGGACGTGCTCCCACTGCGCGAATGGAGGGAATGGAGCGAGAGGCTCCTGTGGACAGCACTCAAGGCGGCCCACCTGCACACGCCCTCCAAGGAGCTGGAGCAGAGCCTGGTGTGGAGGCAGGCGTCACTGCCGATTGCCTTGGGAGGACTGGGATTGGTGGACCCGCTCTCGGAGGCGCCAGCGGCCTTCCTGGCTTCCCTTCACGCGGCGCAGACACTACTGCTGCAGGGAGCCGTCACCACGGACCACCCCCTACAACGCGTGGCAGCACTGCTGTCGCCACACGAGGATGGGAGGGGAGGGGCCACCTGCAGGAGCAACTCTCCAGGCAGGTGAACAGGGACCGTGCGGCGGAATTGGTGGGCGACACACGGATTGACAAGCCAGGAGAGGACAATGGCCATGTCATTCGACTGATTGCACTGCAGGGTACGGGAGCGGGAGACTGGCTCCATGCAATCCCCACGAGAGCAGACCTCACCTTCTCCCCAGGGCAGTTCGCAATCGCCCTCGGTTTCCGCCTCGGACTGACCCTAGCAGTGACAGACAACTGCCCCTGTGGCAGGGACCGGTCGAAGATAGAGGACCGCAGCCTCCCGAACCACCTGCTGCGTTGTGCGGAGGGGAGGGACAGGACGAACACTCACAACAGCTTGGTGTACGCTGCACTGCGCATGGCGCGGGAGGCCGACTACATGACCATCCACGAGACCACAGTCTACTCGCAAATCGTCAACCCTAAGCGAGGTCATCAAGGACAGGGAGTCGGCCGAGACCTGGGTGACGGACGTCACCGTGACGGACCCCGTACTGCAGCGCAGAGACACACGAGCGGTGAAGCGTCCTGGCTGGGCAGCAGAGGATGCGGCGAGGGGGAAGAGGGGGATGTACGAGGGGCGACCAGAGTTCGTGGGAGTGTTCGGGCTGGCAGTGGAGACCTATGGGGCCTTGGCACAAGACACCCAGAGGTTCCTCCGCCTCCTAGGCACCCAGGCGGCCAAGAAGAAGTATAGGCAGGGGAGGCTCACCACGGTCGCCTCCAAGCTCACTGCTCACTACCGACAGCGCTGGTCGGTGATGCTCCAGCGCAGCCAGGCAAACACCCTGCTGGCAAAGTCCAACAGGGCAACTGAGTGTGCGTTCCCCCAGGCCCCACTCGACCCGTGGGAGCCACGCCTTGGGGACCTCTGGCAGGTCCTTGAGGACGAGCTGGACTGGGGGCCGGACCTGGATGGGTGAGGGGGCTGGAGTAGAGGAGCGGGTGGAGGGGAGAGGACAGGAGGTGGTCCTAGGGGCTAGGCACTAGGTAGGCAGCTCTGAGCAGCGGCGTGCGGGCCATAGGAGTGTGTGGTGTTCGTTGTCACTTGCTTGCTAGCTGGTTAGAGGCCTAGACTGCATGTTAGGCTTTGCTATTTCTAAGTTGCCTTGCCTGTACCCTGCCTATTATCAATGAAGGACCGCTTGAGAGAGAGAGAGAGAGAGAGAGAGAGAGAGAGAGATAGAGAGAGAGAGAGAGAGAGAGAGAGAGAGAGAGAGAGAGAGAGAGAGAGAGAGAGAGAGCGGAAGGAGGGGGAGGAGGAGAAGGGTTTAGGGTTTAGCCTTTTGTATTCCTGCATATTGTACCTAATTCCTCTCCTACAAGGGACACATGAGGACACATGCTTTTCTTGTGCAAGCTGATAAAGAGCGAGTATCATATTTTCCCGGATAGTAGACCCAGAAATTCATTACCACCATCCCTCAAAACTGGGAGGGGGGGGGGAGGGGGGGGGGGGGGGGGGGGTGTCTTAACCTGACACTCGTTTTTTACTCGGGGTAATTCGATTTTGACTTTATAGTTAAATAAAAATGGTTGCACGTCCATGTTTGTACGGCAGTTGATTAGTGTTAAACATATTCTTTGACCAACTTCACATCCTATTCATTCTGCCATGTGACAAAATTGTTGCACGACATTGACGTGCGTTAACTAACCTTCGTGAAGCAATTCACAACATATGGCGGAAAAATGCTTTGAGCTAAGGTGTGAATTCATACCTTACACGAACCAACCTTACCTTACACGAAACCAACCTTGAAGGTTGCTAAGTGTGTAGGATAAGCGATTCTTTCTAGATTGAAAGTGATAACTTTCTCAGGAAGAAACGAGAACCATAAAATAGAACTGAAACGCGAAAGTGAAGGGGAACCCAAACCCATTGGCACGCAGGGGTTATACTTATCAACCGGGAAGATGACAATACCCCCAAACCATCCCCCCCTCCCCCCCCCCTCCCCCTTCCCCCCCCCCCCCCCCCCCCCCCCTCCTCTTCCCCCCTCACCCTTTTCCCCAAACCCTACCCCCCCTCATTCCACCACCTTTCCTTTTTCCCCTCCGGTGTATTATGAACCGAGGGGTTTAAATTGGGAGGAGTTTACTATTTGGGCAGATACGGTCGTGCAAGGGATATGTGAGAATGACCATAGGAAAGGAAGTGAAAAACATGTCCTACATTTTGATGCAATCACGTACTATCAAAGCTAGATGTATAGCGAATGCCTCCCAGCCACCCACACACCTCCCCCCCCCCCCTCTTATTGTTTTTGCGCATAAGGGTTTGTCAAAGTGAGAGAGCGAGAAAAATAGCAACCGAACTCCTATTTGCGTCTATAATCTATCTACAACCACATGTACTCAACTTCACACTGATGCATTTACAAGTATATAATGCTGTTAATGCACACATTGCTGGTTCACCATGATTGCTAAGACCGACATGCCGTTCCTTGTAGGAGTGACAATTAGTTCCTTGACCTCTATTGGGGATTCGTCTATTCGTTTGAAACAGTGTTTTTGATACTGGTTTCATCCTCACTTGCAACTCCTCATTCAAGTTGGGACGGGGGTCACTATTTTGCATGCGGGCTTTAACATGAAAGACTCTACATTTACACTACTTAGGGTGAGGATAAACTTTCGACTTTGATGGCTATTGATGATATTCAATATGGCTAACAAACTCCCTTGCACTGGCAAGTCTTGCTTGCAAGTGAAAAGCATTGCAAAGCCATACAGATGTACTCTCACTCTGTGCAACATTGTGGAACAGGTACCGTACATAATTCTTTATAAACACATTTTTCATTATATTCATATCCTTGTTTTGCTTACGCTCACCCTCCTGCGCAAAATCTCAAAGTGTTTGTTGAATCTGCTAAATCCGGTAGCCACCATGTGCTTGCCGGCATGAGTAACAGTCGCGTAACGTCTCATTGTCCAGTTTCCGCAGCATGGTGAACTGCTCGAATAAAATCATTATCGCAATACTCGTTGTCGTAATATAGCCTGGCCTATTCGCCAACATTTGCCGCACTACTACAGCGCGCGGGAAGATTGAATTAAGACACACCAGCCGTACGCACCATTACCATTAGTAGTTGCGAAAAGAAACAATGGAAAAATAATACAGACAAACAAACAAACCACAGGGTTCTTCGCACTGTGAGTTTTCAGGATGTTCCAGGCCTTTAGAGTCACATCTTGCAAACCACTACCTCCTGTATCAATCTAGTCGCGTTTTATGTGCTTCTATAAATATGGTGCCCCTGTTAAAGTAGGCTCTTAACTCTTGACTTAGTGACTTCGGGTTTGCCTAGGAAGCATTAGTGTCGAGAGTGAGCATGGCGAGAGAATTGGGCAAAAAGGGGGGGGGTTCACTAATGAGCAAGGTACAAATAGGAAACAAGGGAGGTGCACCACCTACAGGAAATACCTCAAACACTACAGTAACTACAGCAAACAGTTTATATAATGAACATAAGTTTAACACACCCCCTAAACTGTTAGCTGCAAGAACTAGTACAAGGACACCCCCTGAAGCGGTACACCAGGCGCAGCGGAAGACAACAGAGAGGAATGCGAGGAGGAGGATACGAGAGAGAGAGAGGGGAGAGGAGAAGAATGAGGAGAGGAGGTGGGGGGAGCCACGCGGCGAGCCCCTCTTACTAACCCCCGTTTTACAAGGGGGGGGGGGGGGGGGGGGGGGGGGGGGGGGGGGGTGAGAGAGGGATGAGGAGAGGAGGTGGGGGGAGCCACGCGGCGAACCCCTCTTACGAACCCCCGTTTTACAAAGGGGGGAGGGTGAGAGAGGGAGGAGAGGAGGTGGGGGGAGCCTAGCGCGGCGAGCCCCTCTTACTAACCCCCTAATTCCACGCCCCCTTTCAGCCACCCCCCTCAACCTCACCCCCTTGTCAACCGCCCCCTGGAACCTCACGCCTTCCCCCCACCCTTCCTCCAAAGCCTTCCCCACCCACGGTGGAACCTGCTCAAGCCTTCACACGGCGGCCAGAAACCCGCCACCCTCTCACCCTCCCCCCCACAGCGGCACGTGCGGCAGTGAGAGAGAGAGGAGGAGCGGTGGCAGCTGGGTGCTCACACCCGCCACCCCAAA